CTCTGCTATTCACTAATGGAGATTTATATATTTTTCCTCTAATTGCTGCATTTCTCTGTATTTCATGTATTAATAGTCAAAATATATTTTATATCCTTTACATAAAAAAACAGCTTCTCTTTTTTTGCTTTGGTAGGACCAGATCCTTCAGACATTTTCCTAGGCTGTTCCATGTTGAAAGTTGATAAATCTAGAGAGATAATAGTTTTGCAAGAAGAAATGTTGAAATGTATGGTAGGAATTTTCAAAGCCTGCCGCAAGCCCTGCAGGAAGGTGCTTCTTTTTTTGTAATCAGTGCTCAAACTTCATCAGCGACTGTGTTGGAAAATATTGCTGTGCTTTACAGTCAGCTATGTGACAGGCAGCTTTACATTTGCTCCTGCACCAAAAGCTAGAATGTCCCTGAAATGTCCAGAGCTGACAAAGCAATTGTTTAAGCACTCATATAATCCCCTCCAGGCAGTTCCAGCAGTGTAGCTCCTCTTTGGAGTCACCCGCTGTGTGTGGCAGTCTGGATGGAGAGTATTGCAAACACAGAAAGTAGCCTGCTTAAATGGAAGTTCTTAATAGCTGTAGTTCACTTTTTACTTCACTCCAGAGACCTTCTAGTACAGGGCTGCACTGGGAGCTGTGCAGTTAGGAGAAGGATATAGACACATGGAATGTGTTCAGCTCACTGTATCTTATGCTGAAAATTAGCTTCGAGGGGGAAAATGCTCAATTGTAAAGTTAAATAATTTGCAGTTTTGAGTAATGACATATATGTACCATTATTGGCTCAAGTAGTCAGAAGTATGTATTCAGTACACACCATGCAGTCAGGTAGTCTCCTCAGGCTGAACAATTTAAGGTTGTATGACCTGTCCTTTTTGGCAATGAGATTTGAATTTGAGGACAAGTTTTTGGTTTATTTGGTTCAAAGCAAGATTATGTTTTTAGTTCACTAAGGGAAACAGTTGACAGTTCAGAGAAGTCTTGGTTTAGGTAGAAAGGACCTGAGTTGTGCTTAAATCCTGTGTGAAGATTTTGAGCACTTTAGAGCATCCAAATAACTCTGTATGAGTAGAACGGCCGATAACATAGAGTGCTTTATGTCTAGCCTGTTTGGAAGATAAATGGCTTTGGACTTGACCATGAACTTAAACAGCATTCATAAAAGAGTAGACATACTCCTTGTATGTTAGATACAACCTCCTTAACGCTTCATAAAAAATACTCAATTATCATATTTCTGTGGGAAAGCCATTATGGGAAACAAAAAAACTACATAACCAAACATTAAAATACAAGGGAAACAGAAACTGACCAAAATTATTTTAAAATATACTCTAACATTCAAAGTTGCCATTTCTACAGGAAGGTCCCATTGCTGGGGGTTCCCAAATGTAGAAGAAAAAAAAAAGTTTTCCTCTGCCTTTTGGTTTTGTCTAGAGAAAATAAGAAAAGCACACTGAACACCAGTGAGGTTACAAAGGCTTCCAGCAAGGTTACAAAGTAAGGTTACAGTGAGGTTACCAATAAGGTTACAAAGGCTTCAGCTTAATCCTGTTTCTGCAGAAGGGCAAGGTTACTGATGTTGTGGTTCTCCCAGCCTGATTAGTCCATGAAAGCTTTCCATATACACATAGAACTCATTGACATTAATAAGAGCAGACCTCACATATGTCCTTTCCTATATCCAGCTGCACTCCTGAACTCAAAAGGCATCTGAATATTGTTATAATGGCATGAACTAGGATTGTATCTTTCTTAGTAATATATTAGATCCCTTTTCCATGAATTATGATTTTGATATTATATCTTTTGTAATTTATCAATGAAGTGACATTTTTTTTCCTGTGTAATTTCTGCTGCATACCCTAAATGTATAAAGTATTTTCTATAGTGGATGATTAATTTCTAAGAGAGCAGCAAATGTGTTTTCTGGTACTCTTACATGGTTTAACTTTTATTTTATTTCTTTACTTTTTTTTTTTAGTTTATTTACTTATAGCTTTTCGTTTTCTGGTACTCTTACAACTATGGTGTCTGTGTTACACAAGATCATGGTTTAACTTTTATTTTATTTCTTTACTTTTTTTTTTTAGTTTATTTACTTATAGCTTTTTTTTTGTGTGCAAAACTATGGGCTTTACATATATTACTTTTAATTTTACAAGATTTCAAAAATCATTTACCTAGTCAAGATTTTAGTATTTCTAGAACTTCCATTGAAAAACTGATGTCCAGTGACTTTATCAAACTATTCGCTTTATTTCAAAAAGTTGTAGGTATAACTTGCTTAGCATTTATGCCTGTCATTTAGATCAATTAATGCAGTATTAAGGGCAAAATCTGTAAGATCTACAGGGGCTTTAAAACTTCTAATTTATATGATAATTTTTGGAAACCTATAACTGCATATTTTACACAGATAAAACCAAAATAGCTTTTGGATGGAGTTGCTTATTTTAATTTTTTCATTTTATAAATGCCAATTATTTAGTATTTACTGTGAGATACATCTACAATAAAAAAAAAGCCTTCTACGTCTTGTTTAAAAAGGAGATACATCTACAATAAAAAAAAAAGCCTACATCTTGTTTAAAAAGGAGAAGGGAAAATGGTCAAGCAAGAAGAGGGAGTGCTTTTATCAGGTAACAGGATCAATTTTACAAGCATTCCTCTGTGCAGCTTTAGTTCCAGGGCTTATCATTTGATGAAAAGTAACTATTTTTGCAAAATGACTGAGTCTACTCTTGGACATATACTGTTTGTGGATACAGTAGTAAATGGGTAGGAGGCCTTGGAGTAAGCAGAAACCAGCTATACCAGCAGATGAGTCTGGGACCAATGCTTAAAGGCCCCAGGGAATTTGTAAAACAGGCTGGAACTCTTGCTATCTTCTGGATATCTCTAAATGTATATTTATGAATAAGGGCTAGATCTTCATGAGCTCACTGATGATTTCACTCAGTACCCCTTGAAGAAATGTCTGGAGGCAAAAGTTGCCCTGGAAATTCCATTGCAGAAGTAGCTTTAGCGAAATGTTACCAGCTTTCAAAATAGTGTTTCTTTCCCCTTTGGCAGGAGATAGCCACACTTTTATATGTAATACAGGCAATATGTTAACATTCATGGCAAAGCAGTTTTGGTAAGAATTTGCTATTTTTAAATGTTATCTTCCTTTCAAGTGTCAAGAAACATAGTTAAGAGATTTACAGCCTATTTATTATTTAGAAAATATGAGTTAATTGATGCCTCAGAATAATTCTGTGAAGTTACTTTATCACTGTTTTTATGAAAGAAAAGGCTACAAGACAATATGCTACAAGATTTCTGCAATGTGTAAGGGACTAAGTTCAAAGTATCTTTTTGAAAACAAAGCCTTTGTATTTTGAATATTTCCTTTTTTAAAATGGAAATGAGACTTGATTTTTTTTCTTCATACAGCATATGCAAGCCTCTATTTTAGGAGGAAACAAGTGAAAAAATTGCATTTCTCATTGTACATATACAATATACTCAGTGGGACTTGATGATCTCAAAGGGCTTTTCCAACCTACTTAATTCTGTGATACCTCTCCAAGGAGAATGTTTTACTTTACTAAAGCCTGTATTGGTTTTTTGTAGTTCTATGGGGCTGTATCTTCACATCCTTTCTGTAAAGTTTTCTAGACAAGTGTTAAGACAGTGCTAAGACTTGTTAGTTACATTTCACCACCCTACTGATGTAGTTCCAGAGGAATAGCCTCAGCAGTGCTGAAGCAGGACCTGAAGTAACAGAAATAGAAAAATGTTTTTTGAGGTATTGAGGAAACCTCAATACCAAAAACTGTATTGAGGAACCTTGAACTACTTTGCTTTAGTTTGATCAAATTTGACAGAAAATGAAACATTTGTTTCCTGCACATAGTACTGTAAAAATATTATGCAGCATTCAGTAACAAAATATTTTTCATGTAGCACATAGTAACACTGGTAAGGGGAGAAAAAAGAGAGAAACATAATAGTGCAGAATGTGTGGGCATAATTTACAGTTTGAAGTACCTACATAAAAGAGAATATTTTATTAAAATACATGAGTCATTTCCTAATTCTTTGGACAGCAGCATTAATTTAGATCTCTTCTTGAACTGTTTTTCAAACTTTCCTTTCTACAGTGTGTCTGCCATGGAGGGTAAACTCTGACTGTATGAAATATTTATATTTTGTCAAAACCCTAAACACTCCTATTTGTAGGGTATCTGTACTTACTAGAATTCATCCTTATATTTGACCAGTAGACAAAACAAAGTTAATATGCTTTTTATTCTCAATATATTTTCTAGATTTTTTTTTCATTTAACCTTCCTTAACATCATCTACTGTAAAGTGAATACACAGTATCATTGTTTTAAGTATTGCATTGATGTGATTAGAATAAATATTAATTTGTGTTAGAAAAGCAAAGAAATAAGTTCCTCAAGACTTTCCGTATTCAAATGCTTTTCCTTCTGGATATTCTATTAGAAATACAATTTGCCTTTTTGTTTAATTTACTGTAAATAATTTTATAGGGACAGTTAATAAATCTGGCCCAAGGGTGCTTTGCTCTGTACATAATTTTAAGCACACCTAGACACACACAAATATATCTCCTTCCTCACTGCTTTTCATATTCCATGTACTCTGTTGTTGGAGCCTTAACTTTTTCTTGGAAGCCCTTTGCAAGTCCTCCTGGCAGAGTTTACGAATCAGATAGGATAATTAGAAGTCTTTACAATTTTACTGTACCTTTGTCCTTTCTTTCACCTTTCCTTTACTGCACTATCTTGTCTGTCTGATTCTCGCAGGAGACATGGATTACAACTGGTTGGACCATACGTCTTGGCATAGCAGTGAGGCATCCCCAATGTCTTTGGTGAGACATGTGGAGCCTTACCATTTAGTTTCCTTTATCATTTTACATTTCCTTGGTTTTATTTACTGTTTTTGCATGTTTTCTTTTTTTGTATCCTTTTTTTATCCCACACCTATAGGGGACAGTCAAAGGGGAAAAAGAAAAACTAGTGAGCAGGCAGTTTTGTCGGATTCTAACACCTTATCCGAGAGGCAAAAGAAAATGGTCTGCTTTGGTGGCCACTCTTTGGAAGAGGACTTGGAATGGTCTGAGCCTCAGATAAAAGACTCTGGGGTAGATACGTGTAGTAGCACAACTCTAAACGAGGAACATAGCCATAGTGAGAAGGTACTGAGATTACGGAGCCTGCATTTTAACCTGCTCATTTGGTCTTTGTTTGCTCTCTGTCACTCATTAAAATAGTGCATAAAATAAAAGATAGGGTGTTTCTAGAGACAATATAGCATTTCTTAAGGTGCAGAAAAGAAAAACAAATGAAAAGTCTTTGCATGCTTGCAGCTTTTACTGTTTGGCAGCCTAAGAAAAAAACATTGAGAGGCATAAAGGAATGTTGTTCTTATGGTTGCAAATTAGCATATCTGGATATTACCTTAAAGAACAAAGTAATTAACAATAAGGATTCTACCAATTGGCTTATTTGATTTACTATTTCCAAACTCCTGGGGCTGCAATTAAATTAATAGTTTAAACCCCAGGTGAAAAAGGGAGAAAATTGGGTCTCTCTGCACAGAAAAGTTGTTTTTCTTTTTTCCCTTTAACTGTCATGGTTGTTAATTTGTTTTGTTGCCGTGTAATTTTTGTGCAGTACTGTGCAGAATTAAAGGCTTTGCCATCTGCTTTGGTATTTTTATTTTTGCTTTCTGTTTGGTGGAGATTATGAGAAATCTTTTTAGAGTTATTAGTTGTAATGGGAGCAGATTTATCTGTGCCTGCTAATTTTGCATGAAATAGAGCATGAAATAATATTTTTCTGTGAGAAAGTACTATGATTACACTAAAGAAAATCTTAACAATTCATTAATTAGGCCAATAGACAAGTATAACTGTGCCCATGTATAGTAATGGAGTAATAATGCTCACTGTAACTGTGCTTCATGTATGAATTAATTATTCTGAGAAAGAAACAGAATATTAAAATGAAGTAATGAAGCAACCTTTTAACAGTATTTTTAAATTTGAATCTACTACTACTGAGAGAAAGTAAAACACTAAAATATTTGTTGGTCTTGGATTAATTTTGAAATGTTTGAAGTAGTAGAAAAATAAGACCTTGTATCAAACTTTCAATTTGAGTTAAACTTCTTTCCCAGTATTAATGTTATACTAGACTTTTAGTAATGTTTTTCTCAGTACTCAAGAGTAAATCTCATTGAGTCTAGATAACGATGTGTACTTGTCTATATCTGTCAAATCAAGACTGAAAGATCATTCTAGATGTTTACAAATTGGATTTAGTAAAATAGATAATGTTATTAAATATTAGACATCCATTTTGATGAATGATATGTCCACATAAATATTTCTCAGCAGTTTTATGTCATTTTTTATATTAAATTTAGTGTGATCATAATACTTTCATAGCATTTTTAAAATATATCAGCAAATGAAAAGTATTACTGAAATATTTTTCATTAAAATGCTATTCACTGTATTTTCCATGAACACCATATGATAGCATCCAGTAACTTGGCAACCATCCAAAGATGGAGATCGTCTCATTGGTCGGATTTTGTTAAATAAGCGACTAAAAGATGGAAGTGTGCCTAGAGATTCAGGAGCAATGCTTGGATTGAAGGTTGGTGCTAAACAATTTTGAAAGTAACATCTCTCCCAGTTAAACTAGCTACTTTTATAATTAAAGTATTCTCATACTGTATAGTGTATGCATAACAATGTTGATAATGCCTTATCATTCTCAAAATTACAATATAGACATTTTATATTCATTTACCTAGAGTAATTTTGCAGGGTTCTTGGCAGAATTTAAAAATTGTATTTTTCTGAAAGACTAAACACGTTTTCAGAAGTTTTCTGAGCATGTATTCTTAGCAAATCACGAATTGCACCCTTGCTATGCAAGTTGAGTCCTGTCTGTGTTCTTCAGTATGGAGCGTTGCACCATGGTATAACTTTTATTTCCCAAGAAAGAGAAGAAAAATGAAAAATAAATTATGTCTCTTGAAGACCTAATCTGTGAGTTGATGTCATTTTGATCCAGGTCAGAGTATGCCAATGGAACTTCCTATTTTTGAATTTTTCTCTCTGATTGTTTGATTTGCCACATTTTAAAAACATAAAATGGAAAGTTGTTTAATATTATTGAATTTTATCACAAAATAATGTACTCTTTTTTAATGTGTTAACATCTTTTTCATGATGCAGTGCTCTTAAACACATCATAAATTTCTAGCTCACATATTGATCTCAGTTTTGTGTGATATTATTATCTGCAGTTCCAGAAATACTAGTACAAGAATGAGAACAAACTATAAACAGTGAAAGAAACAAACTTGTATTAATTTTGATTCCATATCCTTGCAGTAAGATATTATTAAGAAGTTTAAATTTTCTGTTCTCTATTTAGCATGACTTCACCTCAGGTGTACAGATTAGGTTATTTTCACACCCTATGAGTAAGGATTAAATCAGTGTAGGTATGTATTACATATACTAACATGGAAAGATCTATAACTATATATATGTACTAATGCTAGAAAGATTTTAAATTTTTTATTTAATTAATAAATAATTTATTTTGAAGTTAGTGAGGAAGCCAGTTAAACATGAAGTTTTATATATTTATTTTTGTCTTATCAGAAAATGCAAGACATTAACAGTGCCATTAAGAAGCACTTTTTTTTAGAACATCTATGTTAAAATTTCTAAAATCTCATATTATGAAGATGAACTCTTCAGTGAGATTCATTAATAGTTCAGATTCAAGAGTAGCTACTTTTTAATTTCAATAGACATCTGGAAAGAGTGATTTCCAATACTGACCTGAATTTTCAATTATTTACATATTGAAAGTAAACTAAACTGGATTTAGTATTACAAATTTCAAATCCCACTATTAAGACTGTTAAGAAACCTTAAGAATTTGAAGATTATTCAGTTATGACTGATTCTGACATGTAAGTCTGATTCTAAGATAAATATTAAGGTCAAACTGTTGAAGTTCCCTGTAGAGAAATTTTCAGTGTGACAAGTGTTTTCACCTGACTTGCCAAAGGGAATTTCATTGCTTACTGTGAACATCCTGAGTTCTGTTACATTAATATATCTTTTTCCAGCTAAAAAAATAGTGAAGTGAGCATACAAATGATCAATAACTTACATTATTTTGGTTTATAATTTATAATATAATGAGATAATGTACGTGTATTTGCTAAAATTTAAAAGCTTTGGGATTCTCTATTTTCACTGTTTTTAAATTGTACAAATTTTCAGAATAGCTACAAAAATAACCTGTCATAGCCAAACTTCTGTGGTATTTTTTTCAAGTATATATGTCTTACCTGGACTACATAAAACCCAAGGAAAGAGCTGAATTCTTCTTTCTATTACCAGTACATTTAAATAATTTTAAGTAATTTTCATACTGTGAAAATACTTCCTATTTGAAACAGGTAGTAGGAGGAAAGATGACTGAATCAGGTCGACTCTGCGCATTTATCACCAAAGTTAAAAAAGGAAGCTTAGCTGATACAGTGGGGCATCTTAGACCAGGTATGTATCTACTATCGATCTATACTGCTGAGTTTCTTTTCTGAAGGTGATAACAACTGAGCAAGTTTAATTACATGTGAAATTATATTAAATAGATATGGTAAAATACTGCAGAATGTAACTGACACTGTTACTAGATGGTTGCTTTTATAAAATATATATTCTCATGTTGCTCAAAAATATTTTATCATTTTTGCTCATTTTTGTACTCAAAGTAATATTCCACTGATGTTCTCCCCAGTCATTTTGTGGTGTATATTTTGTTTAGAGCAAACCAAGCTATGACAAAGGCATGAGCAGAACCACCTTGGCTAGGAAGCTGCTTTGGTTCCGACACGCAAACCGTAGATTGCTACACTGGAGCATGTTCAAGAAATATTATCTATTAACATAAGAACTGTCTGAACTAAGTTGGTGAGATTTGATGTTTTAGTTATAAATTTTCTAAAGAGTGTGTTGGGATTTCTGTAAGCCACAGCTGCCAAACCAAGTAAGAGGAGCATCTAACTCAGTAGGGGTCCTACTGATTATATTATTGTTTTGCAGAATTTTACATGTTTGAAGCTGAGCTGCAGAAAACCTTTAACACTCAGGTTTTTCCTGCATTAAGGCCTCCAGACTTGTTCTATAACACCGGTTTCACAATCCAATAAACTGACAGTAGAGTGGCTTAAATCGTTATTATAAGTGCTGTCCACAGGAAACTTCCTAAGCAGGGTGTTATTACTTACAGGTGATGAAGTATTAGAATGGAATGGAAGGATACTACAAGGAGCCACCTTTGAGGAGGTGTATAATATAATTTTAGAATCCAAACCTGAGCCGCAAGTAGAGCTTGTAGTTTCAAGACCAATAGGGTAAGTAATTTTATGTATTTTTATATTAAATATGATAATATTGTTCACTTTTAAGATGGATTATATCAAACATTCATTAACATTGTAAACAGAAAAATCTTATGCAAAATTCTGTAAACCAAAAGTGTAGCTAGAGTGATAGATCATGCCAGCGAGTAAAAAGAGCTGGTGTGAAATCCTGTGCTCTCAGAGTCTCGGGCATCATCTGCTATTATGGTTAAAAATAGGTTCCCTTCTCTGGCTTTTCAGTTGGTGAGCCAGCCTATATTGGCTTTAAAACTGTGGATTTAAACTCGTTGTTGTAATTCTTGACTGTTGATTTTTATTTCTCCATTTCCATTTTTTATAATACATACATAAAATTATGAGATCATATTTGGTCTATGAACTGATGATGAACTCCATTTACTGAGAGAATATAGAATTTTGTGTGGAATATAGTATGCTAATGAAAGAAATCAATATGCTTGGAAAGTCTCAAATCCATATTCACACCACCTTCACCTATGGAACTATTAAATTATTGCTTGTTATATAATACAGAACACATCTGAATGAATAGTTAGAATTGTGTGGGACTTTATCTTTGGTGCTATATATTGCCCATTTTTATTAACCTTCAAACTTACCTCTCAATGTCTAAACTTAATTTATTCTTGCATAGCAGTAGTTGCTTTGTTGTGTTGGACTGTGAGTACTTCCTTTTCTTCAACTGTTCTTTTTCTTCCAAGTTCCTACACCCTAAAGGCACATCATTCATCACGTTTTTAATTCTCAATTGGAATGTGACCATGTCTGGTCACATGAGAATTGTGAAGAGGGGAATGATTATCACTGATTTTGAAGATATTTGCAGTCATTAAGAATTTTCTTTTGTTTCCCCAGAATTTTTTGTGACACAGGACACAACTGGACAGGGTGATAGGTAATACCATGTAGATTCCCTTTTCCATTTTAGGTTGGACCAGATGATCATTGATTATCACTTCCAACCTGGACTGTTTGAGGATGCTATAATTACATTTGAATAAATATATATATCTCTTTATTTTGTATAAGATGGACATTAACTTAATATAAGAAAACATGACTAAAAATTAAGAAGTACTAAAAAAATCAAGATGAGAACTATATAATCTAAGGATGGCAGTGAGGATGACTGTTATGGGTTCAGCTATAATAGGAACTTATGTTGGACACATCAGGAACTTAAGGTGTAGGAATTTAATTTGGTATGACAATTTTAAACAAACTTGATAATAACAAAAAAACAGCTTTATCTTGTCAGTGAGATGAGAGGTTATGTCCTGCATACATATGGAATTGCAACCCCTTTAGGGTAACGACTGTATCATCTGTCACGTCTTTGCACAACTTGAGAGGTGTAGGTATTATAGTAATGCTAAGGGACAGACTACATTACTTGTCTCAGAAAAGGAGGTCTCAAATCAATTTTATATACAAATCTTCCATATTATCTCCCAAATAGAAGTTTATAGCAAAAGTTTCAAGGAACAACTCACATCTTGAAAATACCAATTTTTAAAAATATTTTTGCATTGTTTTCATTGTGTAAAATCTTCTGTATTATTTCTTGTGCTTTTATATTTGCTGTCTCTTGTTCAGCTTCCTTATCATCATGCCTTCTGTTATGTTGCTGTCACTCGAGCAGCTCATCTATAATTCCTTAAGCAAAGTGGTGTGGGCTCTCAAGATGCCTTTTTCTGCATTAACCACTTGCCTCATAGTCTGAAGAACTGAGCTAGATCAGTGATAAAAGAGTTGTTCAATGTATTTGATTCCCAGTGTCATTTCACAGTAGATGCAGAAGAGTCTTAGTGATGAATACTTCCTACAAATTGGTAGGTTTTAGATTTTGGTTTGGTGTGTGTAACTCTTTGGAGTTTGGTATTAACAGCATAATGTCAGAAATGTTTTTCATGAGGTTAGAGCTGATGAACTGGAAAGACTATTACTTTTTCCAGTTTAGAAGATTTCAGTTCATAATGAAATGCACAACAAAAATTAATAGGTTATGTTTGTCCAAGGAGCTATAACTTCATAGGATTTTTTTCTGCTCTGGGAAATAAAGTTTCAGTGTATGTACAATACTTAAAAGTTCTTATTTCCTAGATATCAGGAGTGATATTTATTTCATTAGAATTATCGATGCCCAGTTGAAGGGTTTTGCTTTTGCATTGAGATAAATCCTATTATTTATAAGGAGAATTTCTTGATGGATTCATGGCAACACTTTAAATAGTTCAAGAAATCTTCAGTTACTAGCAAATAACTTAGCTGAGAACCTGTTCATATCCTGATATTCTGAGAACAAAATCAAATTCCAGTAAATACAGTTATTAGTTTTTCTCTTTATTGCAGGATGAGTGCTATGAAAACTGAAGATGACAAGCTAAGCTGACAAGGCAAATAAAATTGAAAGCCATTCTGAAAAAATCCCAACAAAACAAAACATGCCAGTTTGTCATGCAATTTACCACTTTTTTCATCTTAAAATAAAAATTGATGACCAAATTGCTAATCAGTGTGAGCTGGCTGTCCCTTATACAGAGGAATTTACCTGTTTTCTGCCTTATTATTCTCAGAAACAGATAATTTAAAATGCTTGTTATTTTCATGGTTTCTTCAGCTTTGAATTTGGAAGAAATAATACACTGTTTTAATAATTACTCTATACAACCTGTGTGCAGTGGAACATAACTTACTATGCAAAGTGTTTATGAAACTAATTTTACTTCTCCTCCATCTCTTTATCTCTGTGAGAGTTCCTTGTAAGAAAAAACATTCACACTACCATGAAATTCAGGGATCTGTGTGCTTCAGGAGCATGAATGACAATGTTCAAACCTCTCAAGTTTATTTTTTCAGCTATCTATAGAAATCTCCATTCTGTTCAGAATGATTTGTGTATTATATATATATATATATCTTTTTTTCCAAGGTTTTCTTTTCAGACTCACATGGTAGAAGAAATTGTTTTGTATTTATGAGTTCAGCTCAAGAGTGTAGTTTTGAGTCAATTACTAGGTGAGATTTGGATCCTATTATAAATTCTCCTTATATATAAACTTAAGTATTTGTTTCTTCAGTAGCGCTTGTGAGTTTCTCACAAGTTTTGGGTACTAACAACAGAGATTTTCTTCTTGTCCGTTGTAGGCACTTAGAGCAGATTCATGCCTGCTGGTTTATTTCATTTATTGGATACTGTGCATCAACTCGCTTGGAAAGATTCCTCAGTCTGCTTAGTAAAGCTGTCTTTCTAGTGACTCTTGAAAAATGTTTGGAAAAGATAGCCCAAAAGTATTCTGGAAAAGCTCTTCTGAAGAAAATAGATAAGCTATTTATGTATCATACTGAGTCTTTCATTGTATGAAACAGTAGATATCACTGGAACTTTTTCATTTCCCTTTCCTTTACCTTTGTGGTGGGTTGACCTTGACTGAGCACCAAAGACTTGCTCTCTGCATTTCCCTCCTCAGAAGGTCTTGGGGAGGAAATAAGATGAAAAAGTTTATGGGCCACTCAGCAGTTACCACTTGGGCAAAACAAACTTGAGGAAGATTAATTTGTTAGGAATTAATACAATAAAAGGATAGTGAGGAATAAAACCAAAACTGAAGCCCCCTTACCCTTACCTCTCTTCTTCCCAGGCTCAAATTTAGTTATTTTTCCCTGGTTTTTCTGCCTCCCTCTCTGCCAAGGCGTCCATGGCACACGGAAAGGGACTTGCAGCAAGTCGTCCTCCTCCACCTTCTTCTCTGACCTTGGTGTCTGCAACAACATTTCTCTCATGGCCTTTTTTCCTCATTGCTTTCTCTCAGAGCTGCTGCACAGCTGTTTTGTCCTTTATTAAATATGTTATCACAGAGGCACCCAAGGAGCCAGCTGGGCCCAGCACGGTGCAGCCCCAGCCTCTCCTGACCATGGCCACCCCTCAGGACTGGCTGTGGCCTTGGAGAAACCAAGTGCACTGAAACACACAACGGGATTGTAAATGTTGGTTTTGCTGTGACTCAGAACTGAAGCTCTTCATCTTGCTTGGTTTTGCTCAAATAGCTCTGGAATTGTTTATTAGCATATTGATAGTTTTTATTAGCATGCAGTAATGTTTGCCCTTCAGAGGAATAATATATTCCTTTGCCTGGGGGGATGTGATTGAGTGCTTTAAAATGATGTGGCTCTGCACACAATTTAATACAGGTGTTGCAACACGTTTTGTATATGAAAGAAGGCATTTTTGCCAAATGAACTTATAAATTTTATTTGGTTATGAAAAAGGTAAGGTTGATTAAATTTATTGTTCAAGTTCAGTAAAGAATGTCCTGGGATAGCCATGATTGGCAGCCGAGTATGTTTTGATGAGGGTCCACTAAATTTAATTAATGTATAATGTCATCATAAAAGCTACTACTCACAGTATTAGTCTACCATTAACTCTGAGATTGTTCTTTTATTTACTGAATAATTTCATTTGTGACTGTGCAGCTTGTCTCCTGCATCCACCAAATCTTTTCTGTAGGATTTAATTTGGCACTGAAATAATTTACACAGGATAACAGATAATCATACCAGTAGCTGAAGACAGCCAGCAGATCATGCACCATTTCTGAGGCATTCCATGGTGGCTTGGGAAGTGTTATAGTGTAACTGAAATTTAAAAATGCTTGTTAGATGAAGGATCAGCCTGTCTTAATTTTCCTGATTTCAGGGACATTCCCAGAATACCTGACAGCACACATGCACAGCTGGAGTCCAGTAAGTTTCAATTGTGGGGTAGGAAAATCTTCTGTCTCTTTTATGTAAGCACAAATAGAATGAAAAATGTCCTCTGCAGTCAGTATAGGTCTTGTCTTTTTGTGTATATTTGTCTCAATATGTCATCTTACTGTATTATCTATCTATCTTTGTTTAATAATAAGCTATCAAAACTCAGGATATTGTGATTTAGGTTTGACATTGGTTATAAGATTAGATGAGCTTGATTTCTAACTAATATATAAGAACATTAATAGCAATTTTTAATTTCCTGTTCTCTTACTTTGCATTTCAATTGCATCTTATAAACTAAAAATGAGAAAGAAATATTCTTTGTTTACAGCCTGAGTGATAGCTACTTTGAACTCAGAATGCCCTTACTTTATTAGAGCCACTCAGTGCTACTTAAATTGACTAAACCCATATTTCATGTAGGGAAGAATAACTTGTTCTTTGGCTTGGACCTGATAAGATGAATTTCAGCCTGGAGTTATTTTTTATCATTGTTTTAGAATGCTATTATAATAGAAGCTATGAATAAATGAAATGGCATAAGCTTGATTATAATAATATGAAAAACTCCTTCAATGACTTTTTACTCATTGCCCAATTCTTAAAATTAACTTTATGTTTTGAGATATGTAGATTGTCTTTTGTATTTATAAAAATACTTCACTTTTCCTCTATGTTTTGTATGTCAGAACTTGTCCTCTGACCATTTTCAGACCTTGTAAATTTGAAACAAAATGCACAAAAAACATAACATACATCTTGTTATTTTTGTAAAAATCTAATTAAAAATTAGTTGATTGTACAAGATAATAAGTCAGAAGACTGAATTCATTTGACTACAGTAAAGTGTTTATTTTTGGACCTTCAACTTACTGACATAATTACAGTCAGAAATATCTGAATAATCTATATTCCATTCTATAAATAAAAGCTCCTGATTGCATCTGATCACCAAAAGATTGAGTATCATCATTTGGTAATTTTAAATAGATTTTAAAAAGTGATATTTATCACAACTTTACTGCATGTTTGGTTATATTTCTGCAATTTCTGTTTAAAGAACGTTGAAATATACACATAACTACTACTATGTATAAAATATTTTTGTTTATAATTACAGGTTCTAGTTCATTTGAATCTCAAAAAATGGACCGACCTTCCATTTCAGTGACTTCTCCTATGAGTCCTGGCATGTTAAGGGATGTTCCACAGTTCTTGTCTGGACAACTTTCAGTATGTAAACATTTCATTGATATTAATGTTGTAGTTTTTGCAGCATATACAACTCTTACTGCAGTGCTAGCTACCTTTAACAGAAATTTCTTGTTAAACTAAACTAGCTACATTTTTTGTTTAATGCTATACATCTCAGTCGAGGCAGGAACAGAATTTCATAATCACATTCCATTTCATTAGCTTTTGGAAATTTGATATATACATACATATGTAGCTGGTAAGCTAGACTGGCAGAGTCAAATTTTCAGAGAGGTCTTATCTTGGCCTCCAGTTATGTTTGTGCTGTTCAGAGTAAACATTTTTCAACTGTCACACTTGTGAGTTGGTAGATTTTGTTACCTGTGTGCCTGGATGTTACAACTGCTTATTTCTTATGCACTAACTTTCATATATAACTTCCCCTGATATACCTCTGATATTTTACTCATGTTGTATTCTTTGTACTGATGTTCCTCAGTTTTGTTCTTCACTCTCACTGAGAAGAAAGTTCATTATGTGAATATTTTCTTTTAAAGGATACTTCTTTTATAATAAACTGAAAAAGTTGGGTTTTGTGCATCTTTCCATGTCATTTAAAATTCCAAAGTGTGATTTTTCAAAAGTGCTCAGTTGAGGTCCAACATATTGAAAAGGAAAGGCAAATGGAATGGAAGCAGTGCAAAACTGATGTTAAACAAGTTTGGAAATGTCACATTCAGGTTACTTCCAAGTTGTATATATTGAGTGTACCATAAAAATATGCCTAAAATCCAAGCAGACTGTTTTTAGGTCTCACAGAAATGGTTTATGGTATGGATAGAGGAGACAGAGAATATTTTGTCTCTTCAGTGGCCATGTTGGCTCCATCTTGCAGTGCATGAGACATTATTTGTTTGCTCATCAGAAAAACCATTTACAATGCATAATTTTCTGTAGTTGTTGTACTTAAAAACTTTGAAAGATTCAATGCTTTGGATAAATGGAAAACTAAAAATCTTGACTGTAGAATGCAGAGTGCTTTGCAAAAGTACAATGACAAGGGAACATGAACTGTCAAAATACACAGACCAAAGTTTCTAAAAACCCTCTTATTTTTACAAGACAGTAAAAATTGTTAATAGGGGAGACAGGGAAGAAAGAAATTCCTTTTTCCTAACCTTCATAAAAGATGAGGCTGTCAAAAAGTTGCCGTGCCTAGCTCCCATTAGGAAATTCAAGAGCCAGAGTTAGCTGCTCAGATGACCAGTGCACATACAGGATGGATTAATTGTCCAAATAGAAACCAAATAGAACTGACTTTCTCACTTTCTCACTTTCTCAGTTTCAGATCAAAATCATCATGAGTTTAAGATTAGGATTTTTTAGTAAAGTCAGTAAGTCTTTTGATTTAGTGGTTTCATAGGATACTGAAGTTTAAGGTATGTAATCATAGTATTGGGAAATTTTGAGGTATATTCTAATTTATTGAGAATAACAGAAATCTAAAGGTTTTATTTGTCAGAATGGCATATAAAATTCAGTGTTTAACTCAAGAAGGCATAAATCCTATTTTTATTTCTTTTTTGAATGTTTCAATATATAAATGCCTATTCTAAAAAGTTTCTTTGCATCTAAGGAAATTCAATAATATTATAAGACATTAGAAAATCTGTCCGTTTTTTTGGTACTTCCTTATCTACTGTTTGCAATTACATTCAATACTCCCTACTTCATATTATCTGTGTTACCCCCAGAGAGCAGGTGATATCTATCTGAGAATGCAAAGCTCCAGCTGGGTGAAACTGAAGTCATAAATACTCTGTAACTCTCTAAAGTTGCAATTTAGACATCTAAAAATAGTAGACATTTTGTAAGTTTGGATGCTTGTTTTGTCTCACCAGCTAATGAAACACTGGAAATAGCTGTATTTCATGTTAATCATGTTAAGGGTACAGCCCAGCTCCTGCTGCTGTTGGGTCAAGACTTTGGGAGGGAAGTACTAAACATTTTTCTTTGCTAGCAAAGGTGGCTCTCATAGTGTCTGAAGATGCTCTGCAGAGGTGGCAACATGGGATCTAACTGGGCAAATTGCAATGTATAGGCTAATATGCACTTTTAGAAATAGAGAAATACTTTATTAAGTATTCTACAGGAAAAGTGTTTTCAAAACCAATGTAGTTTCTTTTTGGTCTGATCCTTTAAGATAGACTTTATTAAGTATTCTACAGGAAAAGTCTTTTCAAAACAATGTAGTTTCTTTTTGGTCTGATCCTTTAAGATAGTTTTGAAGAATTTAAAATGTTGTGACATCAGATTTGGGTGTTTATGTTCTTGAAAGTAGTATGATGAATAGTTTTTCCTTTGCTTTTTAATATTTTGGTTTATCATTCTACAATTTTTAGAAGTTTTGAAACTTCAGAAGAGTTAGTGAAAAAATTCTGTTTTTAAAGTTGGAGATGTTTTGAAAAATTAGAATGGACTATGAGATTTTCTAATTTTGGACCTTTAACAAAGGTGAAGTAGTAAGGTAAAACTGAATTTTAAAGTTTAAAGTGAAAATATCTTATTTTGAATGCTTCAAAATGGATGTGCTTCAGTATTTTGGTTTTCCATATCTTAATCAGCTCTTTTCTAACAGAACAGTTGATGGATCACATATTCATTCAAAATAGCTGAGTAAGATAGAAATGAAAGGAAATACTAAATTCTGAATGTAATTGTGAACGTGCTCTTTATGGGGAGTGCCTAGACAAGAGAACAATTACAGAACCCTGGCAACAAATGAGGTGTAAATTAGTAAATGAAGATGGTGTTTGCCGTGGAAATACTGGGTCAATGATATTCTGGGTGATGGTGGCTGAAGTCAAGCAGGTGTGATGGATCTGAGCAAAGAGATGAAAGGCAAGATTTTGCAAGTGTTTTCTGTATTTTTCTGTGCCTTTGAACAGTAGCATGTATCCTGAGGGGCTGCTGTTAGTGCAGCTGCGGTTACTGGCATAGGCAGTGAAACACAGGAGTTGTAGGCAGAAATGGAGATACAACAGTTTGGATGAAAGTCTGAAGTATTTGAATGGACCCTTGAGTATAGGCTTATTCAGACAGTGTTCTAGATCCTTAAAGCATTTTTATATCTAAGTAGGATTTTGGAATCCATTTCTTTATGTTTGGTATGGATTTGGCTGGTTTACCTGCAGCAATGCCACTGAAACATTCAGGGATGTCTTCCTCTGTCTGTTCAGTCTTCCATGTTTTCCTCTATACTGGCATTGGTCTGTGTAAGTGTTTTCCTTGTGGAGGTTACAGTGTCAGTCTAGAGCTGACTAATAGGATTGACCACAAAGTAAACCATCACACATAGACAGGAAATCCTCTTTACATTAATAATTACTCTGTCCAAGTTCAATATTTAATTGAACAAATTATGTGCAACTACAGTAAACTATTGTGTGTTATTATTTGCTAATATAATTTATCCATATTACCTGTGTTTTATTTTATAGCACTTTTTATTCATGTTGTTTTTTAGGGGAGTATCTGACTGTTATTGCAATTATAGTTTTTCTATTATTTGCTTTGTCTCATTCCTGTTTCTGTATTTTTTTCACTGAGTTGTTTTTCCTTTAATGTCATTTTGAAAAAGTCAAAAGTATTCTTTGTATGTTGGTTCTCTTAGCTTAGGTTCTGATTTTTATCTACATTTTTGATACTGTATGAAAAGTATAATTGAAATTATTTTCCAATAGTTAGGATTAGGGAATAACAACATAACTATAAGACCATGTGATTGGATACAAGTATAAAATCACAGTATTAAATTTTTGTACTGGGGGAAGTTCTAGCAGAAAAAGGGTGTCATTTATAAAATTAATCTATTTCCCTGTACACTTGAACAACAGAACCACTTCAAAAGATTTTCCATACATATTCAGTTTATAAAGCAATGAAAATAAAGTTATAGTAAATATAGTTGTAATATGTGCAAACTAATTGAAAGCCTTTTTGGTACATTATGAAGGGCCTATATGTCAATGCACTGAGGGGATGAGATCAAGTACAACACATGCTACCCCTCCCCTTTCACATGTTCTTTTTCCTTTTCTTCCTTCCCTTTATATCTGTATAAAATTAAATTGCTGTTTCTCTTACTTCAAACCTTGGAAAGTTCTGGGTAGTGCACACAATGTGTTGATTTTCCTCCATTTCCTGGGCAGAATATGACAGGTGAGGACCCTTGGTGCATGGTGGGAGAGATTCTGCCCTCTTAGGATTGCAGTATCCTGTGAAAATCTATTTTTTCCCTTGTAAAATGGAGCTGAAGCAAGCTGAAGATCTACTTTTATTGTGACTAGGTCACATTCTGACACCCTCAAAATGGGGCTCTGCAGTCCTGCCTGTGCAGAGTGGCAGGCAGAGTGCAGCTGCTGCACCTTGCAGAACGCAGGGAGCACATCAGACAAAACCTGTGATCCAGACTGCCACATTTTTTAATGTATCCTCTTTTTTTGATGTAAGAACAGATTACCTCACACATTTTATGGAACAGATTTCTTGATCATCTGTGCATGCCAAATAAGCAAGGAGGGTGGCAGAACCATCATCACAGTGCCTATTTCCATGCTTTGAGTACATTTCTAATGGAAGCGAATATTGAGTAGTAGCTTCTTTTTATCAATTTGAATTAGATCAATAATCTCAGGAAAAGTGAGCAGAGATAAAGGAGATTCCAGCCTGTGAGATGGCTGTGATTGTTGTGACCTACTCCATGCCCCTGTTCTCCCACTCACCAGCCCTCTGAGGTATCACCACATGCTCCTTTTCCGTCCATGCCCCATGCTCTGCACCAGTTCTGTGCCACTCCATCAGCTGTTGCCCTAAGCTGAAGGTGGGGAGTGGTTGCTTGGAATTTGCAGCTAATCCAGGAATTTGAGTTGCCTGTACTCGGTGTAGTCTTGATGTAGCTGCTGGAGGCCACAAGGTTGTATGTGGTCTGAACTGGTACAGCATAAAAATGTTATGAATGCATCTATATGTGAGTTTGCTAAATTTTCTAGATCCCATTTCATGCAAGGATTTTGTGTGTATACCATACGTCATTTCTGTCATGATTGCTAGAGAATTGAAATACATAGATTGTACCTTCCCCATGTAAAGTTAATACCAGAGAGCACTAACTTTCTTTTAATTTTTTTCTAAGTATTTAGGAGGACTTTTAATAGACATGACTCTTAAAATTGCAAAAAACAAAAAACCTTTTATTTTACTCACTTTCCTAAGTAACCAAAGCTGTCAGTATGTGAATTGTACTTGTTTCTCTCTGAATATGCATGTACAATCTCCCTGAAAGACTTGATCTATCTTATGTTTCCAACCCCACTTTTAAATCACACTTTGCCTACTTGTTGTTTCTGTTACATGTTATTTCTAAATCTATTGTAAATATTGTCTATTGACTTGCAAAGAGAAATCCTTGCTCCTGGGGAATCAGTGGCAAAATTCCTGCTGACTTACCTAAGACAAGAATTTCCACTAAAGGGTTTTGATATGATTTGGTAACAGATTTGCATATTTAATTTATGCATCACATTAAAATACTTTTTGTTAGATAAATATGTTGTTGGTGTAAAGCTGTGTTTAAAGTAATAGTTATGTGTCTTTGTTTTTACTTTTGGTCTTTTAGTTTCCAGCGTGTTGTCGTTTTTGGTTTTGTTTTATTGCTTTTTCTTTAATTTTGCTTACCAGAGCCAAAGCCTTAGTAGAAGAACAACGCCTTTTGTTCCTAGGGTTCAGGTAAAGACTTCGTCTGCCTGACAGAAACTAAAGTTGTGGGTTTTTCTTTTGTTTGTTATGGAAAATGCATAGTAGGAAAACGTTGCATTATAGTCCGTTTTCCCATATTTTGAGTGTGTTGCTTTAAACCATTTTAACAATTTTCATGTCATCTTGTGAGCAGCTTGTAAAATTCTGCATGGGGGTTAAAATATTAGATTAAAATTTAAAGAGACATCTGTTTTTTCTAGCTGTCCAGTATTAAACTTATACAGTTTTCAATAGTGATGATGACTATGCATCCCAAATACAAAATTTGTGTATTGTGTAAGCAATAAATAATTTTGTACTTCAGTTTGTTGTATAAAGATGAATGTCTCTTTAAATCATTCATTATCATTTCTTAACTTTTTTTTTTTTTTTGCATTTTCCACATAATAGTAGCGCCTTGAGTAGAAGACGGGCAAAAAATTTGTACCCTGTACAAAAAGTTGCACCTTGTTCAAAAATTTGTACCTTATTGTTTGTAGAACTTGGTTCTTGCATTTTTATGTACAGCAATATAGACAAAACTTTACTTGAATGAAAAATGAATTCTCACATAGTCTTACTGAATTTATTTAGCTTTGATATTCTGTTTGGGTACAAGTTGTTTGCCTTTTTTTTCATTAGGAAGCTTCTAAGGTACTATAGATTTATGCAAAAATAGGTTTTACTAATATTTTACTATGCTTATCTTGCTTTGCTGCATGTTTTTCATTTATTTTAACCAGAATATTATCTGATTTTTTTACAAAATATCTTTATGGAGATGTTAATCTTTTGTGTGACAGCTTTATAAATGTTTTTCTTTGATTAATTGACCAAAATGTAAAGGATGATCTAAGTAATCAGAAAGAGATGACTGAATTTAATTATGAAATGGAAAAGAGATCCTATATGTATTTATGAAGGAATTCTAAATAAGACTGTAATTAAGACATCAAATATGACTCATATTGGATAAGGTACACTATTTTCACAACGCAGTATTCTCAAAAGTATTCCTTACAACTGCTTAAATATAGATTCAAAATTAAGAACTTCTAAAGAAAAAAGACATTATAAAATAATGCCTTGATTGTATGATTTAAAGCTAATATATTATGTGATATTGACATAAACTGGCTTTGTATGAAAAATTTAAAACATCCTTTAGCTTTATTAAGAAAGTTGGATTCTGCTCATGATAATGAAATCAGAGGTACAATTGCAAGTTGTTAAGTAGTTCATAGAGGTAAATATTATATATGTCATAAGTAGTTTTTTATATATTTATTTTCTTTTTATATATGTGCTAAATAAATTAAAAAATTATGTGATAATTGATTGTTCAATTTAAAAAGGAAATCTCTGCTTGAAACCCGCATGTTTCATGAAATACTGTAATGTAGAAATAACAAGTAGTAGTTCCTTATTTATTTATTCCATTTTACAAAATAAAGACATAGACATAAAAATTGTCTGTTCTACTTAGACTAATATCCTCTCATTAAGCAAAAAAAAACCCAAAAACTTTGCTCAAATGATTATAGTAGTTGAGAAAGGAAAAGAAGTCTCATGTTTGCTAGAAAATATCTAACGAGGTGAAAATGTTTAAGGCTTACTCGCTCACTCTCTGGATCCATTATTTTTTATATTGTAGGCAAGAATTCTCCTTAGCCCCAGTTTTGTCTACACAACCAGTGCCTGTGGAGTCCATGTGGACCTGTCTAACAGTTTTTTTTTGCAAAGCCTAGTAACAGTCAGTGCTAAACATAAGGATTTTGACAAGAGTTCCTGAAGAACTCAAAATTATGACCTTGGCGAAATCTTTACAATCTTTCTACTCTGAAACAAAAAGTCATCCATCTGCCCACTTTTAGTGGTGATAATAGATAGTAAAAAAAGATTAATGTTAGTATAGTTACCATGCAGGCTGCTGAAAGAAGAGGAATTCTCCAGTGATCTTCAAACAGGAGTATTAGTGCAGAACTCTGGTTACTTTTTTGGCATGACAAATTCACTAAATCAGAGCTCTGAGCTGCTGTTTATGGTTGTCAGGAAGTATACATTTCATTGTGGGCTGAGGTATAGCTCTGTCTGTAGTAGTCCTTACAAGAATGAGCATCTCCAGACATTCTGCTTATACTTATTTGTTTCATGGCTCTCAACAGGAAATTCATATCTTTATTCTTGCTTGCATCTTCTTTGCTTGTTAGTCTGAAACAGATCCTTTCTGGCAAAGCTCCTCTTCCACCCTTCCCTCCATGACATTCCATTAATCTTCTAGCTCACTGGATGATTTCATAGAATCATCATTATTTCATTGTGAGGAAAAACACTCAGTTTCTTTCCTATCAAATGCCCACTGAGCTTTTACTAATTTGAGAGTACTTGTAAAAGTACATCTTTATTTCCTGAACTTTTAGATTCAGTTTGGCATACCAGTAATTGTCGAACTTGCACAGTGATGCTTTATGAATCTTCCTAGGGAAAAATCTGTTCTTAAAATTGTGTTTTCTCTGCAGCATCTCTTGTTTACTAAGCAAAGCATTCTTTTGAGCCAGAGTTGCCTCTGGGTATTTTCTACCTTCAAAAATTTCAGCCATCCTTTTGGCTTTAATGCAGATCAATATATTTGATCATGTATAAAAATATGTAAAAGGTAAAACCACTGAAAAAGAGATTTAAAAAAGAAACATAGATTAGGGCAGCCTGAATACTTCTGTAATTTCCTGGCCTTTATATCCTACAAGCTTTTTCATTTGACAGCCTTTTCTTGTAGTTGTTCAAGCATATTAGATAGCAGCTGAAGCAGAAAGCAATAGTAGTTTGATTTAGCAACCCTCAGTGCTCAGGATTTTTTAGAGGTGTGTTTAACAACATTCAAAACTGGCCTCAGCTATGCCAAAGACATCACCACCTCAGGGCAGTTTCAGCATCTACATAAGCTAAAGTCCAATAAAAACATTACTGCAAGTTTTGGTTTTTTTTAATAAACTGAGATTTTTTTTTTCAAACAACAGATCCCACTGGTATATCTTTGGTTTCAGAACAATGTGAGAAAGAAAAGTAGTATAGAATTAAAAAATAATAAACATAATAAACATCTATCTAGGCTAAAAATTATAATGAGCAACAGAAGAAAAAAAATTGCCTGGCCAGCTGTCTCTAAAAGCCAGTGATGTTTGAGTAGGTTGTGGTGGTAAAAATCAGCTGTAGGGCAGATGGTCTCTCCCAGTGGCACAAGTTTTATCTCTTTTCATGAGATTCGTGAAGTAACCCTTATATAACAAAGACATAACTGTCGCATAGGATTTAAAGCTTCAAATATTCTCTGTTTCTAAATCTAAATTATGACTGAAGATATGTTTTGCCTTTATGTCCTGTATATAAAACTACATTAGAATTGCATAGTTGAGCAAACAGTCAAACATTCATGAGACAGGTCTATAGAAAGTGCAACAATAATATTATCTAGAATTTCTTAACTGATTCTCTTATCAGGGGGAATAAGAGTAGTTGTTCTTATACATGATTACTTTTCTAATTTTTAGTGAAGTTGAGATCTAATAGAAACAGATGAAATCTAGTAAGCTGAATTTATATCCTTAATTTATATAACTTATACTAACTTCAAATACATTTGAGGTGCCTTGAGGAAGAGCTTTCACTTATACACATGAAGGAAAGATCTAAGTACCTCAATACCTGCAGTGAGTGATTAACCCAAATAAAAGACACCTAAGCCCATTAACTCTATTTGAAACTAAGGCTGCTCCAGAGGGTGAGTTGATTCCCAGGGGAGGCACCTTCTCCTTAGGCTACAAAGGACCAATCATACCCATTATTCTGTGATTCTGTGAAACATGAGTGCCAGCTAGAGGTACTGAATACCTGCATCCTCACTTCTCAGAATGCAACACCAGCAGTCAGCTTTTATATACTGTTTGTGAAGGAAGATTATAGGAAGATTATTCCAGAAATAGGACACATGCTGGTTTAATACTGTTTAGACTGAAGAGGTTGAACCTGTGTATCAAAATAGTTCCTTTATCATCAAGCTATGCCACATCCCATTCTTTGGAGTACGAAGTCTCATGTGAAGCTGAGATACACTTTGGCTGGGAATAGAAGTGTGTGGTGTTATGAAAGCATGCTTCAGTTTAGCATAGCAGGTTCCAGACCTGACACCCTACATGAGTATTGCTCTTGTATTTGACCACTACTGGTTAAAAACCAGAAAGAATGAAACTGGGGTCAGACCCACATCTCTGTTTCCTTCAATCTTCTGAGTGCAGAAGAGTTCCTGTTTCCTGCAGTCTGTGACATTTATCCCTACCTGGCAGCCAGTCTGCAGCAGATGCACCCCTCTGTGAATAACAGACCATCTCAGTGCATCTCAGTATCAGGATGCACTGAATTCAGATGCCTGTTGGCCTGAATGTAGGTCACAGCAGAAGCTTAATAAAGCGTTAGGTGCATGTCTGGCTGCTGAAGGAGCCCAGGGAAGGAAAGTATATGAGCATGTGTGTGGTTAATTGGTCTCCAGGACTTCAGTGCAAAGTGGGAAAGTATTCAGGATGCACCACTTTCTAAGCGAATCTTAGGTGCCTACATCCTAAGTAATCTAGACAGACAAAATCCCATTCAAGAAGGTTTTGTTCAGGTGTTAGTCTTGACATTAGCATCAGCCAGCATGACTTTTTATATAGCTTATCTTATGTGTTGTTAGTTTAGCTTTTCCTTTCCTTGATTTAGAATTGCTTTGTTGGCTTTGTTGAAGTTTCTTAGATGTTCTAAACTTATTAAAGCGTGTGTGTGTGTGTGTGTGTAAAATCTTGCTAGATTTTTTGTTCATTCCAGTCTCTCTTTCAACATATTTTGTGCCAGTTAGCATGGCTAGTTCTTTTGTCACCTCATAGCATTTCTCTCATTCATTCTACTTTTGCCCTTCTCTTAATCTCCGGTCCCTGACATTAGTGGTTCCGTCCTTCCCGTGTTTCACCAAGAAGTATCTTGTCTATTTTACTTTCACTGTAATTATAAAGCAGCTTTTTATTTTTCCCTTCTTCCTTCTTCTAATCCCATAAGAATGCAATCCCATTCTCCCCTGTGTGGCCTTCTTTGACCATTCTCTCACAGTTTCTTCCTTTTCTCTCCTTGCATCCCAGTCAAATGACTGCTTGGGTTACAAGTACCTGTGCTGTGCATTGGAGTGCTAGCAGTGTGAATAGAGGAGAGAGAGAGAGCTTTCTGGCCTTCATTCTGACTCCTGGCTTTTCCTGTAACAAGGCAAATCAAAGAACATTAGATGGAAACTATGCCCATTAAGTTAAAGTTTTTCCAATATTTTATTTCAGAACATCAAGGGAAAAGTAGAAGGTGCAAGTCAATGTGAATTTTGAGCTCTTGATCCAAACTACAGTTAAAGCATCTCAATGAAGTGGTGTCAGATGATTTCAGTTTTTGCTTAAGTAGTTCTCTAAATATTTTGACTGAAGTTTTCATGTAAAAATTTGGTCTGAAACAAATATATTTAGCTTGCATATGAACACACAATTCTGGTTGTATTTTTGATGCCTATATCTAGATGATTTCACATTCATCAGTCACAGTTTGTGATAGTGTCTGTATCACAAATATATTTAATTCTCCTTAAGCAAGCATAATTTTCCACAAAAAGCAAATGAAGAAGATTGTCTTCAGTGCTATTCCCCTTGTGATGTGGGACTAGCCAAATCTGCCTTTTGCTTCAGGACTCCCAAGGAAACCTGCGGGTGGATACATTTAGTGCCAAAGAACATTTAAGTTGAGTTGCACTTCAGAGGTCATTAAAGCTGTACTGTTGGTACAAAGCTTTCTGCTTTTGATCTGTAGCTGGATGGAGATAGCTAGAAGTCCAGATAATTCTCAATGTAGAAAAAATGATGTCAAAGCCCCTGGCTTGCAAGAATGTAGGAATGACATCTAAAATTCACACACAGATGAGTAGCCACAGGGCCCTTTAACTATTAGTACCAGAAACCTTTAAAGTTTATAGCAGGGACAATGACAGGGTAATGGAGGACAAATATCCCATTTTTAATATCCATTCCAATGGTTGTGGCTACAGGAATTGCAAGATCTGAAGCAGTGAAGGAAGTACACTGCCACCAATAATTGAGTTGGCATGTCTTAGTGTAATCTCACTTAGCAAAGTATTAGGAATGGCAGAGAGCTAAATCAGCCTCTTCTTTATGGGTTAAAAGTCTTTAGAATTACAATACAACCATTCTTTAGGAGACTGAAATATTGGAGATGAGGAGCTATGATAGTAGATGAAAACCCTGTCTCTGAAATTAAGTGAGATGGTTTCTACAGAAAGTGCACCTTCCCCACTTTATGTCTACCTTAGCTAGGGTATATTCATGCCTAAAGGTGTATTGTCTGGTTAGGTGTGCAGCTGGGCATTATCCTCTCTGATTCCCTTAAGTTCGGGCAAGGTCACTGTTTTCTTTAAATGTCCTAGTTTGTCCTGTCTCAGGCAAAGTCCTCATGAAGAGATCCTCCTCAGTGAGCTGCCGCTAGTGACACTGCAGTGCTACCACCATGTAGTGGCTCCCTGGCCGTTTGGAAGGCTGTGTTTTGCCCTAACTGCACCATTTCCCCCTTCTGCAGTGACTGCTCTGAAGCAGTGATATCCCTTTCTTGGCTGATGTACTTGCAGTCATAGAATTCAAACTGAAGTAGCTAAATAGCAGCTTGTAAAGACTGTAGTGAACAAGGATAGCAAATCAAGCCTTAGACTGATTAATAACAATTTCTGCAAATGAATAATAGTGTTTTTTTATCTTGTCACTGAGTTGGACTATGAAGAGGGTTGGATTACTGAGCCTTCCTCTCAGTATTTATGGAGGACTTATATGATTTCAGAATAAGTGTATATATGTTGAAAAATATTATGGGATGTGAAATATTTACAGGTTTATCCCATAGTCTCTTTAGCACAACAGCAGATGAAAAATTATTAATTCATTGTGCATAAACTCCTCAGAGATGTATATATATGAATATCATACATTAGTAATGAAAGTAATACAATACAAGGGAGAATAATCCTAACCAGGGCACCATGTGAAAAACAGTTAGTGTGAAGTAAGGTACTTATAGTACAGGGTTTTAGAAAAAGGGTAACTCCTGGTATATACTGAAGCTATTACAATATTAACTTATTTTTATTCTTTGTTATAAATGAAAAGTAGAATATAATATTTTCTGTTTAAGTAGCCAATATAAATAGAAGCTCATGAACAAAATTATTTTAAAGACTTAATATACAACTTCATTGTAGAAATGAGTTCACTAATTAATATTTTCTTCCTACAGATAAAACTGTGGTATGACAAGGTTGGTCATCAGTTAATAGTGACCATACTGGGAGCAAAGGATCTTCCTTCAAGGGAAGATGGGAGGCCAAGGAATCCTTATGTTAAAATTTACTTTCTTCCAGACAGAAGGTAGGGTGAACGCAAAGACAAGGAATATTTAAATTAATCTGATACTCAGGTGACATGCACAGCTGAGTTTATCAGCCATACTTACATGGAAAAAAGGTTGAGCTCTTGTGTTGAACATGGTGTGTAACAGCAAGGTGGCTTTGAACACTAAGTACAAACTTGCTTTCCCTGGTTATATTATAAAATACTGAATAGAAAAGGAAAGGTAAACATATGTCTTTGCATGGGGATCTGTTATTTGCAAAGAATGTTATTAGTGTATTATAATGCCTTTATTTCCTATGCCAGTTTTTCTTCTATAGAGCAAAGAAGATGCTACATGGTCAGGCTGATAAACTTCTGGACTGATGAGTCCAGCAGTTTGGTTTACCCCACCTTTATACAATAAAGCAGTAACAGGTTTGGCATCTGAAACCCACACATTCCCTAAAGCGCAGGACTCATGTTAATCTGGATGGTATCATATATGCACTTAGGAAAAATTAAACTGGACCGCTATTCCTGAAAAGCTCCTTCACTTCTTAGTCCATGGTTTTCTGTGTTTACATTTAGGTGTTAGGAAGAACAGCAGAAGAGATAGTGTGTTTTCCAGTTCATTTTTTTTTAAATTCATGTTTCCTCAGATTGTGTCAGCAGGGGAACGTGTTTACCTTTATTTTATCAACCAAATAATTCAAAGCTTTAATGTCACTCAAAATAATAGATCAGTGGATTGCTGAATCTGTAGAACAGAATGTAAGTTGTATTTTTAGATCCTTTGCTTTTCCCAATAGCTAAACTGGGAAGATGCTAGCTAAACTGGGAAGATGCTAGCTATCTCCATTACCATTTGGCTTCAGCAGGAATAAAGCTATTTTGTGTTTTGGAAGACTTTTCCAAGTTGCTTTTCCACTTTCATTGTATACCATATGTTGACAAGCAAATTTTCTGTGACTACCTAATTTGCTGTGTCATTGATGATTAAAAGGTTTTGGATAGATTTTCTCAGGCTCACCAGTATTTGAACAGTTGGTTTAGATCCCTAGTTTATTCAAATTGCTGCAGTGTGTTTGTAGCTGCTGAAGCTGTGCTAAACTGAGAATCAGGTCTGCTTCAATTATCTTACCTTCTTTTACAATAGTAATGAGTAATTAATAGGCTAAAAAAGTGTGTTCACAATGTTTTGCAATGCAAATTGTGATAACTAAAAATATATTAACATTAAATTTTATTAATCTATATTTTTCCCCATTTATGAGAAGTATTCAGAAATTTTCTTTGGTTGTTTTATGTGTTTATGATCAGCAATTTGTCTTACAGACTTGTGGGTTTTTTTCTGATGTGGAAATTCATTTTTCTTTCCTTAGATTTAAAAGCTAAGTAAGCAACAGTATATTTCTTGTGTAGTAGAAAGAAACATGCTGGAGGTAAAATACACTTAAGGAAGTCAAGCATTTAATTAGATGAAGATGCTGAATTCTCTTTGAATTAAGAAATTTAAGTGAAAAATGTTGTACAATATAACTTATTTCAGTTCACAAGGGTAAACAAATCTTTAGTATGCTAGAAATAATTTATGTTTTTTTTAACAGTGTGTCTAAAAATATTATTACTTAGGTAATTTTTTGATACAACTTCCAAGTAATAGTTCACAAATACAATGACTTTATTACAATTGCAAGTATTAACGAATGGACTACATCTGCATTGCCTATTAAAAAATCCTTATAAATTAGTATGGCAGCTGCATTATGCAGCAATCAGCAGGTTTAAAATAAGCATTGTTATGAGGACTCTTGTCAGTATTCTCAGTAGGAAGAGTGTGGGTGTTTTCCAGCGAAAATTGTTTCAATCAGAAAATATTAATTCTTTCAAGCAGAAATATTCTGCAAAAACATTGCTTTCAACAACGCCCTGGAGGCAGAGCCAAGGCTGCCAGGGTATCCTTGCCTGGCGACCTCACCTCACAGTGGAGGTGCACCTTCAGCCTGAGGGATTCATTGGAGTGTCCAGAGGATTTGGGAAGCAGTTTTGAGAACGCTGTTTGTTCCAGTGTTGCTGGAAAAGAACATGTAACTCATTTTTGGGGCTTCTGGTTTCCCAGGTGGATAAGGAGACTTTAGCCAGGGAAATCCTGCACTGCCCCAGCTCCCTGACCATTCCTCCGTGTGGGCCAGCTGCTCCTTCCTGCTCTGCAGTTGGAAGGAGCCGCTGTAGGACTGGAACTTGAGTGAACCAGCTGGATCAGGTTTTGAAATGCAGGTGTTTGCTATGCCCAGTGTTATCTGTAGAGATGATCTACTGTCAGACTGTGCCTTGTGGAAATCCCATTTATGGAAGTGCATTTTACTTTATAAAATGCTGCTTGCAAAATAAAGGAGAATACACCCAAAATCATAATAAAACATTTGTAGGTTTTGGGAAACATCTTAAAATTGGAATTGGCACATAAAATTGAAATTACCTAACCTTAGCTTTTAATATGAACTTATGAATTGTCCTCAATATATGCACTGACCATTGTAATAAAGGAAAATTTGTGATGTAGACTGTAGTACCCATGATTCTACAAACTGAACTGCTGATTTATGACTTCCTATTTTCCATTATATACTTAATGCAGTTTAATGGTGTTTTGAACATATTTAATATTTAACTGTTTTTTTCAGTGATAAAAATAAAAGAAGAACAAAAACAGTAAAGAAAACATTGGAACCTAAGTGGAATCAGACATTTATTTATTCTCCAGTTCATCGGAGAGAGTTTAGAGAACGAATGTTAGAAATCACTCTTTGGGACCAAGCACGAGTTCGAGAGGAAGAAAGTGAATTTTTAGGAGAGGTATACAAGTATTGGTAGTTGCTGTAGAAATATGGTTGCTCTCTCATACTCATGTATAGATACTTGTTTTTGAAAAAATTACTAACTGTGCAAAGCAAAGCTGGATTTATTGTTTTATTTTTTCTTTCACTTAACAAACAGTGATCTCACACATATCATATAATCCTGATATGAGATTCTTTCTGTGTTTTGTCTGTTTTAGTAACAGCATGAATGCGGTTTCTTAATTTCTAATTGTTCATTAAAATCCATATTATCCATAGTCATATTTTACTAAAACTTTGGAATGTTGCTCGTTTACTTATTTGAAAGCTGTAAAGGCTCTCATAAAGTAATAAGGGTTTTGTGAATGATTCTTTGGGTAATTTAGTGTTCTAAAAGGCACAGAAGATTCTTTCATATTTAAGCAAGGTTTTTATATAACTTCATACAAAGTCCTTAGCAGTGTAAGAATAATAGAATAACATTTATATCTATTTTAAAATATTCTGTCATGCAATGCTTTCCTACTTTTAACCATTCTTTCTTTTTCAGATTCTTATTGAGTTAGAGACAGCATTACTAGATGATGAACCCCACTGGTACAAGCTTCAAACACATGATGTCTCTTCATTGCCACTTCCCCATCCCTCACCATATTTGCCGCGCAGACAGCTCCATGGAGAGAGTCCCACACGGAGGTTACAAAGTAGGTTATTATTAGTTTTTCACACTGTGAATAGTTCATTTGAATTAATGCATAATAAAATCTATTAAATTCTTGCAAATGGAAAGCTGACAGAATTTTTATGTTAATTTGTAGCTGTTATGTATTAGATCATTGTGGTTACTGATGAGAGTCTGACACGCTACAAATGGTATCCACCACTGTGCATTGCACCATTTTTTTCTTATAAGACAACTCAGCTTGAGTAAATTATCTTGGTTTTTGCAATGTGCTCTTTTTATCATGAAGCTCTTTCTTTTGTATTATGCTCATAATTTATTATGAACATAATTTCATTATTTAAGCAAAAGTAGATTTGCAGGACCTCTCTCTTAGTAACCTCTATATAACATCATATGTAGATAAAGTAATACCATGGCCTGTTGTCTTGCTTTGGTATTATTTTATGCGCTTAGATTTAGAAATGGAATTTCTTTAAAAATTCTACTTTGTAGAGCTTGTTATACTTGGTCCATAGTAGTTATCAGTAGATTTTTTGAAACTAGAGTATATAAAATACGGTAATAAAAATAGATAGCTAAGAATAAGACAGCAAAAGGGAAAAATCTACTTCTTCAATACTTCATGGTTTCTCCAGTTTAACTATTCAATACTGCCAGTGATTTAAAGCTCTTCTTCACTGAAGAAAATTTATAAATACCATTTGGCAGTTATTTAAAAAAACCCAACAAACCAAATCAACCACTCAAATTAATAAAACACCCAGAAGACCCACCACCACCACAAAAACCCAACAAAATGAAACAAAAACCCCCAAACAAATAGAAAAACACTAAAACCACAACAACCCCAATGCAATTTTGAAGATTTTCTTGGAGTTTCTTTGAGTCATTGTATGTGAGTGTGTGTGCATGTTTCACACAAACTCACAGAAACTTATGTGTGTAGTCATGAAAACAAGTTTGGATATTTCATATATGCTATGTAGAGCCTTTATTGCATGACCCACTGTATACAAGTATTGCAAGCAGTTGATCTGTTTTGCTTCTGTGCACTTGATGATGAGAAGGATTAAAATGCTCCATATCATAATGTACTGAGATAGACACACTGTCAGGGACTTACACTGCATAACCTTGAAGTTGTAAGATTATACTTGTCCCCAAATGGATAAAATAAGTGATAGTTAAACGGTAAGGAGTTCTATTGCAATTCAATCTTTTTTCAGTCTTCTCATATGCCATGACTGTTATTTAACTAAAGTTTTAAAATTATACTTCTTATATGGTCTATGCAATTTTTTAACACATTTTAAGTTTCCATCTACAACTATTTTTACAGACCAGTTGGACTCTTTGTATGTGAAGTAAGTGAAGTTCTGGTTTTCAGGAAATATTCAGTCCTGCAAACAAACGCTGCTTGTCCATAAGAATTTCTGTCTGTGCAATAAGTAACTGCCATTAAGAATGAATTTATGATTTGTTTAAACAAATTTTTGTGATATTTGAGTAATGATCTTTTGGATTATATTGACTCAAAATTTGAAAGACATTCAGGTCTTTTTATATAGTAATCTTACTATGTACTAATAAATAATAAAAAATAACTAATAAATACTAATACTCATAATGTGAATAACTGAACAATTGTACATGCTTGTCTGTAAATATAGAGAAAAGAACTTAGCAAAACTTCTGTTTTGGTGAAATACTAAGATTTGGTATAGAAGTTCTGCTTTTCAATGGAGATGGTTAGCCTGACTGTTCCCAGAGCATTAGTTTTTCACCCTCTGGTTCTAAAAACTTCAATCAAATAACCAATTTCAGATGTTCACTAATATTGCTGGAGAATTCAGATGTTCCTACACTAAATTACCCCATTTCCTTTTGTACAGAGATAGACACCCAGTAATGAAGGATTTTCTCTAGTGGCCTAGGAATATATTCATGTCTAGAATCCTTGTGTATCATAAATAATTTTCAGTTTAAATAGAGAGTTTTAAATGTACAGAACAAGTTATCCTGGAATTAAAACCCTAGCTTCTGGGTCTGAAAAAGTATACAATTGGAAATTTAGCATCTGATCAGAGCTCAGCTATGGCAGCAGAATCCATTTAGCAGTGGGAAAATACAGTTTTTCTTTTATTGCTGTCACTCCTCTGAAATGAAAATAAAAGTACTTCTTGGTGTCCAAAGAGGTTGTGCAATATCCTACTGAGAGGTCCAGTACTCAACTGAAGAAGGCTGTAAACAATGCAGTGTAAGTTGGCCAGGCCTGAGACAGGCATTGCACCAGATGGGCTCCAAAAATGCTCTTCCCAATCTAAATGTCATCACCAGGGACTGGTGAAGGGCAGACAGCACCTCTTTAGCCTGTTTGCCTTCACTAAGTAAAATATTTATACTATATTAATAACACATAGAAGTCTAGGATTTTTACCTTTTTTGAGGTGTCAAAAGAGTATGAAGTCAATATATTAGTTTCTTGTGTCTGAAGATGTTTTTGTATCTTTCAATAACATTCTTGTATATGATGAAACAGATGTTATACAGCAGGACATTATGACAATGTGAAGAAAATCTCTAGAACAAGGCACATCTAGCATGTTTGTCAATGCTTTTCAAAGCATTTTTTAGAACATGTACTGGGCTGTTATTAAGCAGGCTGATTTCAATTTTTTGGGGGTGCAAAGTCTGAGCAGTTCAGTCCTCCTACCTTTTATTCTTTTTTGCATTGCCTCTATGTATAGAATTAGTGATGAAAGAATTTATATACTCCCAAAAACTGTTAGTGTGAGAAATGACAGGAGGGATATTTTGAATTACAAGGTTGTTTTTTGTTTGTATAAATACACATTACACTTTTAAGCTTTTTTATCTTTATGATTGTCGAGTAGGGATAAACATATTTATTTGAAGACAATACTTAAGTGTTACTCTCTAAATGTAGTTTAAAAGAACCACCTACACTTACCACTTCTATTCTCTTTTTAATATCACTGGATTGCAGTGTTCCTGAAGAAGAGCAGACTGTCAGCCCTGAGGAGTGAAGTTGTATTTACAGATTGCCAGTAGCAAAGTGCAAGCTTCCCACAGAGCCCCATATGCTGGTTTTTTAGGAGCCAGCTTTCAGAGACAGTGGCTTAGTTTCTACATATATTTATCTCTCAATATCTTTGAGTGGGCAGTGTGTTGTGGTACAGACTGATCTAAGTCAGCTGTCCACCTTCTCTTTCCCAGTCCTCTGATCCATACATTCCTTTAACTTCCTAATGATAAAGAATCATTCCCATACTTTCTCCTTTGTGTTTTTTGACAGGCATCTACTTAGAAACTGGAACTAATATAGAACATAGGATTATGACTTACTAGCTCTTTCAGCTAATTATATTTGAGATTTTCATAACCCGATCCAATGAGTGTATTTTAGGCTTTTTCTTATGAGAAATGTGGGGTAATCAGTAAGTCTGTTTTACTTATTGTGCTCAACTTTAAAAGTGAGTTTTTAAAATGACTTCATTTTCTCTAACATTTCCCATAAAATCAGCCATACACCCAGAATTCCAGACAACATTAATTAGAATTACAGCCAAACTGAAGTTCTTTTTATATTGCCTCTGAAAAAGATTGTAACCAGAACATTAAAAATAATTTTAGAGAATATTTAGGAATACCCATTTTTGGTAGGCTCTTTTTCTATCTCACATTAGCTAAGAATCTTATTGGAGAATACATACAAAACTGAATGTGCTTTTGGTGCTGTGTCCATGGTTATTAGGATCTGCAAGTTATTGTTGGTATTTCTATTTGTTGAGAAATGATACAGAAATCAAACAAAGTTAATACCATGGGATTGTGTATCTAAAATTAGTTCTTCCCATGAGCCCAGAATGTAGAGATAGAAATCAAATTGGATATCATGCATTTTTATTCCATCTTTTACAGTTATATCCATGTAATGTGAGCATTTGTGTAGTGTGAGCTGATATTGTTGAACTGAGAAAGAATATGGGGTTATTTTTTGTTTTGGAAAACAACAATATTTTAGTTTTATATTGATGCTGAATTTGTTTAGAAGCAGATTTTGTTTTACTCCAAGGTTTTAATCCAAATACTTTGGATTGAAAAGTAACTGACACTAGTTTTCTAAGTCAGATTCTGCAGCTTTAAAATGAAGCTGTCTGAATTACTGATCTGCAGCCCACAGAGTGTGCAATGTGCAGTGCAGGAAACAGCTAAGTGTGCAAAAGAGAAGAAATGTGAATATAGCAATAAACCCAGACATTTTCAGGTCTCTTGCTGCAGCATAGGTCTGTACAGCTGCAGGTCTCTACAGCTTTTGAATACTGTGAGAATTCACAATATGGTTTGAAAAAAAAAATTATATTTTGAGCATCCTCAGTAAGAGAGAAGTAATAAATGTATAGGAGATAAATTCTGCTGAGAACAAGATAGCAAAGATTTTAGAAATTACAGTGTCTGAAAACCAACATACAGAAGTCAAAAATGTTTTTTTTTCCCAAGATTTGAAGATCAGAAAAAATCAATCAAAATGAAAATAAATGTAAATAGTCTTTAGAGTAGTTTTCCTGTAAATGGAATACAATCGCTTTTAGAATGAAATTCATAAATTACTCCATTCATTGAATTTCATGATTTACCAGGTCCATAAAAAATCTGGAGGAAGAGAAATTACAGTAATGAGAATTTAAACTGTCAGGGCAAAATTTGGCTATGGTTACATTCTAAAAAAATCTGCATATGGTGTGCAGAAAGGTGTATATATAACTTTATTTTTTTCAAATTTTATTCATTCTTTGTATGGGAATAAAGAAAATCTATAATGTGTAAACAAAGTGTTTTGAGTAACATGAAAAATTTTGTCATTTTTTCATTTTTTTACTTTGTACATTTTTCCATCAGACTGTGTTTTCTGCACCTATGCTGAGACCTTAACATGATAAAAATTATTAAATCTGACTAGAAAAATTAAAACTGCTAGACTGAATTAAAAAATAGATAATGCCCTTACTTATTTAGTTTTGAAAAACATTTTCAGATGAACTTGTCATTGCTGAGTGCTGACAATTTTTAGTTTTTGAATGTCCTGTGTCTCTACCATCTGATCAAGGAGGAATGTCATAACTGTTAATTTGATCCCCCTCTTCCATTATTTAAATGGTAAAGCTATCAAGTCTATATTGTAGAACATCAAGATATACATTTCGTAGTACCAAAATCATTAAAGTTTAACAATAATTAATTACAAATGTATCTGAAACTTTAATCTGTGAAATATAAGCCCATGTGAAATGATGGCCAATGAAAATTATTCACTTCCTTGGAGCTCTGTAGAGTCTCACTTTACTGCAGAATCAGGATCTTGCTGTTTCAGCAATTTCCTGTGAGTTTGTTGTGAGTTTGGGAAGTCAGCACCATAATTTTCAGTGAATGTCACTGAACCTGACTTGAGGAAATGGTAATAATGCTGCTCACTAGTAGGTAAGTGAATTGTACTTAATGGACACATGTGTCAGAAACTTTTTTTCCAAATTATAATATGGAGCATTTTATGGTCAGTGGCACAGGCCATGATTAATTTATTATATGAATTTTACCCTAGAGAGACAAAATGACAATTAATTTTCTCTTTCATGCTTCTTCCTTAATTTTTTCTCTTTCTTTGAATGGAGCACAAGCCTTGAGCATGTTATCTTTTTTTGCATGCATTGATATTTTATTCACAGAATATGGATATATATACCAGTATTGTATTTATTGGGCATCTATTATTTATTTATTATATTTTATTGTACATCTATGGTTTATTAAATACTTTAAATAAAAGGTATTTAACATGATACAGGGATGTCTAAAAAGGCCTTCAACTGTCAAAATATTTTTATTTTTCTAATAAAAAAACTCATTTAGGATATTAATTTACTAAATTGTAATTAAACTACAAAAATACTTAAAAACCTGTTTTGAAGCAGTTTAAGAGAATTACTTTATTTTCTGATACTTGATAAAATCATGTTAATAAACTACTGTTCTGTTGTGTAATGAAGTTCGTGAAGTTTTCAGATGGTTTTTTAACTTCCTTTCTGTGCAGTGACCATATAGAAACAAATATTGCTTTCCTAGTCCTCAATCCCATTATAATCTCACTAACTTTATATTCTTGTGCTCTTCAAGAAGATCTGTGCTTTTGAAGATCTATCCAGCAGTTAAATTCAGAAAGTCCATAAGTTTTAACTGCATGAATAATTTCCAGACTGTGTTAATAGGTTTTTTTTTTGGTGGGCATGTGGCACGCTTCCACCTTTGGTGTTTAGGTAACACCTGTAAACCAGGCAAAGTCTCTAAACTGCGTTTTTCATAATTTTCTAGCCAGATGATTGTAATTTTTTAATGAAGTTCATAACCAGAAGAGATTAGTATTAAGGAATACAAATATTGGAGAAGTTACACAATAAATCACATCTAAAAGGTTTTAAGTGATGCTGAAAAAGCCCCTGTAATTCACTTTGAAATTAAATTGCTTAATGGAATTCTGGGTCTGAGACATAAAAATGTATTACATTTATCAAGAAACCAAAGTTGAAAATATAGAGTGCTAGAAACTGGAAGTAGTAGGTGATTTAGTAATATGATCCACATATTCAAATAGTTAGTACCTGGATGTCAGAAAAAGTGTGACTTGCCAGAAGGCACTTAGTCATCCAGTGAATCCATTAACAGCACCATTTGGCAAGAAATGGAAATTTTCTCTAACACTGTCATATCATATCATCTGAGGTGCATCATTTACTTACAGACTGGCACTCTTATTTGTTTAATATGGTGTCTATGAGCTTTTCAACTACAAGGAATAAAAATATTCACAAAATCTTGCTAATGACAAGGTATTATTAATGTTATGCTGGCTTCCTGCCTTCTTTGTATTATGACATCTTTTGGAAGTCATATTTCAAAATCTATGAATGTAATTAACATTTCCTGTTTCCAGAATTGTCCAGATATCCACATCCTATTCTTTGGTTCAGTTTAGAAAACTTGGTATGATTGTTTGGAAAGCTAAAATACATAAACCAGTCAGACTTAAGGAATGCAAACAAGAAATCAGGTATTGCAAGTATTTAATCATTGAGCTCATATCAGGATTCTAAAATTGAGTGGTAACAACAGTATGTAATTAAGATTCTCATGTATGTACGTGTTTGCCAGGTCAAGACCTAGCAGGAGGGAGAAGATTGGCACATCATTTCAGAGTCTGTTAAATTTAAAGTAGGATTGAAAGCTACATCTTGGGAAAGTTCTGCTAGTGCTGCAGTGCCAACAGAAATGTGCAATATTTTTAAGGGTAGCAGCTCATATTGTATGCCTAGAAGAATACACATTTTGCCCTTAAAAAGTTAAACACTGATAGCAAAATGTGCAACTGTATTTCAAAATCGGAAATTACTGAAATTGCACTAGATCTCTGTGGCTGTTGATCCAGAAGTGATTGGTATTTTTGTGGTTTAATTTCTCTTAGCTGCTTGAGTTTTATAATTTTGAAGGAGTGTGGCCTACACTATCAAATTCTTCCATCTCTGGCAGCAATTATAAAAATGTTTAAGGTTCTAATCATCCCTGTTACATGTGATAGTTCATGTATTTTTCCCTGACACTACTTCATTTCAATATTTTTTTTCCAGATAAAGGCTTATATTCATATAATTCAGGTAAATTTTCAGCATGCCAGAAATGCTTATTGCTTCCATATATGTGCAAAATTTAATTTGATATTTTATTGGTGTGCTTGTGCTACCTATTGTGCAGATACTAAATTGCATAAAAGTTCTTTGGCTTTTCTTGTCTGCTTTTCAGTAATAAGACATTTGTTGGCTTTCTTTCTCTATTCTAAATGTCTCAGTATTGGTATTGGAGCAATGTTGCAACACCATACTTGCTTTGCTTGCCTTTATTTTAGGTAGAGCTATGGTAGGAAAACTGTAGTGAGCCTTATTAACTATACTAGGAAAATGCTATCTAGCTTTAACTGGATTAAAAGAAGTGCTATTACATTACAGCTATTTGAGAACTAGTGTAAGTATTTTTAGAATACAGACATGGGGTAAGTGAAGTACTGGCAAAATCAGTATTTACACTGATATGTATTTTTACAGTTTCTTGTTGATATAAATCCTCATTACAAATCCAGCTCTATCTGAGGAGTTTGCCTTAATTAAATATAAGTAAATTAATAATATTCAGTTTTTACCAACTTAAATTTTGTAGTGCATTTCATTTGGGACATTTTGCAGTTTTTGCAGTTTTAATTATTGGAATCTCTTTGAGAATTGGTTCAACTAATTATCTTTTAGTTATGTTTAAAAAGGAAACTCACATTGTTATGAAAATAGATCCATACCATCATGGAGGGAAACAAAACCCCCTTAGGGCAGAACTTTCTTGAGAGAAGTACTAATAAAATCCATTTCCCATTACATCTAATGTCAGTCTCCCATATTTCTTCTTCTCCTTTCTCTCCTGAAATAATCCCACATTCTTCTCATGCTTTACAATATCTTCACAAGGGGAGAGACCAAATTTGGTGTGGCATCTGTGAGCCTGCATACACATGGATTAGCTGCAAATTTTAGCTGGATAAAGTTTGTTTTTGATTAAGGACTTCCAATTTGTCTCTTCTATCCAGAAGTTTTATCTCTCTCTTATCTTTCTCATCTGTCCTATTCTAACCATTTTCAAAGACCTGTAGGTATTTAATAGAATTTGTTATTTATACTCCTCTGTCAGTGTAGCTGTAGTTTGTTGAAAGCCTCTAAACCCCACAATTATGTGCAGGATGATAAAGTGACAGACTGACATGGAGACAGCAGGACTGCATGAGAAATTAGCTCACACTAAGGACCCTTGGGCACAGGCTGGATGAATATCAGAGAGCAAATTCTTAAAACAGTTGTTATGAGACTCTTTTGGGGGTGCTTATATGTCAGCTCTGAACACAGAAGAAATACAGGCAATGCTAAGTGACTTTAAGTGGTTGTGAAGGCCTTCTGTGAGCTCCAGGGAAGGAGGTGCAAGCATGCTTCACCAGCCTTGGTTGCCCCAGGGAGTCCACAAAACCTTGTAAAAGCTTCCTGCATTGTAAGAGACAGGATTGGGAGCCTGGTCTGCTTTCTTTTTCCTTTTTTATTTTTTCCAAGAAAAGCACAGGATTCCTGAGGCATAAATTTGGCACTTTCTTTTGTATTTAGGCTGATGCACACTAATTTTATTTCTCATTCTATCCCCTGTCCTAGTTCATTTTGATAACTGTGTTGGTTGGTCATATGTACTTTAGTAGAGCTTTGAAACTCCTATCTTAGTCTTCTCTTGAGGTCTATCATAAATGTCTGCAGGGAAAGTATTAAGCACAGAAGGTATTTTGTATTATTTCCTCTGCATATTAATGAAATTAGGACGAAAAGCTGTGTGCCAACTTCTGTTGTCATATGGAAGGCAGAAGGTTTTTTGGAACCCTCCACAGGTTTTGGTTGCTTTGTAAGAAAATGTTTTTATTTGCATATTGTTTCAATCATCTGGGAGAGTTCCAATTATTTAGAATGTTGTTATGGAGGGAAATGTGATTCTGGTGAAATAGAATCGAATATTCCAGTTGGCAGGGACCTACCACAATCATCGAGTCCAAGAGCCCAATCATTCAGTGCTGACCAAAAGCTAAATATGCTATTAAATACATCGTCCAAATGCTTTTTAAGCATGGACAGGTTTGGGAAAACCAAAGAATATTCTGTAAACATTTTTTCAATTGTGCCCGTATGATTTTTATTTAGAAGTTGTTAAAGCTTTCCATGGCCACCAACACTGCATCCCATGAAAAATTTACAAAAAAATAACTATTTCACTAATGAAAATGAATGAAACACCTCATTTTTTTCTTTACATTACTTCATCCCTGAGGATGAAAAATGGAAGTTTTTATACTAAGAAACTACTGTATTATAAATTCCTTTTCCATGTAATAGAAAGTAAAAATGCAAATAGTAAGAAATTAAATAATTAAATAGAAAGTACTTGCTAAATTGAAATTAAAATAATGGTCCTAATGGTTTTTAGGTGACAGGATTTCTCCCCAACCCTGAAAGTGCTGTGAACTTCCAGTTCTGCTGTGCACGTGTTCTCACAGAGCTGTCATGAGACCAGCTGGGTGAGGTGGTAGCCTGAGCAGCATTGCAGGGAAGGAGTGGAGAGGTGTGGAAGGGCAGGAGGATGCTGAACTTTGGCAAGTTCTGATGGGGAGCTTTTCCAGTGTCCCCAATATAAACTCTCCCCTGAAAAGTTTTATTGATAGCTTAAGGCTGTTAAACCCAAACTTGCTAAATGGAATTAAAAAAATAAATTTATTTCCCTGGGGCTATGCTGAATTAAGGCATTTTTGAGGATTACAGTAGCATGGGATCTATTTTGCCTTCAGTCCATAACTGTAATAATTTTTAATTTGGGTGGAAGGGATTTGAAAGTCTGTATTTACCATCTATTACTGCTGGGTTATCAGACAAAAGGTGAATAATACCTCCAAAAAACATTTATAAATAAACTACTTCTAGTGAATGGCATCAAAGAAAAAGTTAACTACAGGCAAACCATTGGCACCAATGCATTCATTTAATGTATACAGTATCCTGGAATATAAGATTTTTACTGAATTCTGAATTTATGTAAGAATGGACTTAAACTCCTTGCTCTTGATTTTTGGACCATATTTTATAATGTAAATGTCAAAGAGTTTAAGATATTAACTAAATACTAAATAACAGTTTCATTCACAATATTAATTTGCAATAATTTGTGAGAGTCTTCAAGTGTCCCATTTCACAGACAAGATATGAATTGTTGTTTCTCTTTTTTGTAATCAGTGGTCCAAATTACTTAATGAAGTACTACTTTGAAAGACATGGCTAAGGTGGGACATGTCTAAATCTTCACATTTACATTGTCAATAGATTAAAAAGAAAAGTACCATCTAAAATTAATATAAAGCAGGTGAAATTACTCTTGCAAAAACTCCAAGAAATATTAAACTAATCTGCTAGCAATTATACTGACATTAGAAATACTTGCTTCAATAAAAGGTTTTGACCTGTGCACTTTCTAGTTTGTTCCATTTCTGAAGTTAATGGAAGATGTTTTAAATATGTATAATATGATTTCTTTGCAGAAATTATGTATTCCAGGCAGCAGTTCTTGACATTACACATTTAATTGACATAGCTTTGCTTTCCTTTCCCCTTCCTGAAAGAACTGATTGCCAAAGATAAAACCAAATCATTAATTCTGCTTTAAATTTCTTCTGACATCTTTACTATAATTTAAATTTACATTTGTAAGAAGCTGAAAAATATTACTTAAACACTGGTTTTTTTTCAATAGGTTTAAGTCTGTAAAACCAGACATAGCTTAAGTCTGCTTAAAGTTCTGGTTAGCTCTTGTAGCAGCTTGAGGAGATAGAATGGATGATCTGAGCTGAACAAGCTTCATATCTCATTTTACAGATCAAGCTTTCATATTTAAGGATGTCAGGTGTTACAAGAGACTCTCTTCTTTTCAGTAGCAAAGACAGGTTGAGAAATCACTGAAATCTGATTATTCCCTTGCTTTTACTCTTTTTCTACTCCCATCCTTTGGGCAGGTCTCAGTCCTGGCCCATTCACTTTCTCTTGCACTGGCTCTTCCCTGAAGCTCGGATCTCTAGATCCTGGAAGATGATGTGGAGCTGAGGTATTAGGAGATTCTGGAACAGGTGGATGTGTCTTGAGAAGACAGAGAGAGAGAAAGAGAGAGAGAACCCTGTCCTTTATGCCTGTGCTCTGTTGAAGTTTAATCTCTCTTTTCTGCCAGATGTATCCTGTGACTACAACAATATATAATTTTAGCTACACAGCTGGGAAGTGTAGAGCCCACTGTGACAACAGCTGACTATTTTCATCCTCAAAGATGCAAATATCTCCTCCTGAATACAGAATATGATATTCTAAAAATATGTTAAAGCAGATGCACTTAGCTGTAAATATAAACATAAATAAAAAGCAACCTCAGTTGTAATTAATTAGATTCATTCATAAGAATGAATTAGTTGATGAGTAAATGACATCTATTCAAATCATAGTTGATTCAGCCTTTTTACATCTTTCATGATGAAAACCTTTCCAATCAGCCACGTGATGAGCATCAGCAAACTCAATTGCCCTCATCTTCCCATGCCACAATCCCCTCTCTGATAGTTCCTGAGTAACATTCATTGCATCTCTGCACAGCAGCCACAGACCCACTGCAAGATCAGTGTCAGGGCTACCCAAAGACAGAATCCCACTGCTCTGCACTCCCTTTGGGGGCTTCTGCCTTTCAGGTCCCAGCCAAAGCCCAGCCAGCTAGTAGGGCTCTCTTGCTTAGTGCTTGGTCACAAACATTGTCCTCTCTTAATGGACCTGTATTTGAATCAGTGAAGAAAGCAGACTAATCCCTCTTGCTCACTGACACTTGTATCACTACACCATTAGAGGCTTCTCCTGAAAATGGCAACAGGGTGGAATGGATGCTTTCTTTGGGGAAAAAAAAAAAAAGAGAGAGACTGGGTCATTGTAATACTATACTTAAGAAAACAGAGGAAGTTGAAACCTTTTCCTTCATTTCTGCCCTCATCTTCTAGATTTTCTTGAATGCTAATTGTCATCACTCGCTTGTAATTTTTTGTTTTAGAGAAAGACTACTTGTTATTTCTTATACCCTACCCATTGTAGCATAGCTATTTCTAAAATTTTATAATAAATGGAGCTTCCATATGAGAATTGCATGACTTCCTGTGAACTAATTTTGATTTCCTATTTGTGGGGCAAGCATCAACCTTTAGTTCAATTGAATAAAGACAATTAAAATTTCTTTAATGAAATTGCATAATGTATTGGCAGGCTAAATTGTTTTCTAAGAATTAGTACATATCACACTTACACCATTTTTTAGTTGAATGAGTTTTAAACTGAGAAATTTTTATCCTCAAAGAAATAGTCTGCAGTCTAGATTACAAATTCATACACCCACGTTTTAATTGCTGCAGCGACTTCTGACTTCTCATAAAAGGCACAGAAGAAATAGAAAATATACAAACAAAAACAGCAGGAACAATCAGAAATTTGGAAAGGTTCGCATGTGTAAAAGAACCAAAGAATGATATTTCAGCTCAAAAAAATGCAAACCAAAGAGATAACTCTAGCGGAAAACAGAATGCTGATTCATGTTTCTCAGAACACAAAAGCTTGGAGAGCATTGTTGGAAATGAGATAATGTAAATAAAGTATAGGGAATTTGATATCACATAATGCATACTCCCAACTGCAGAATTTACTGACATAGAATATTACAGAGGCCAAGAGAATACTGTGGCTAAAAATGAAATTATATGAATTTGTGGAGAATAAGTTGATTATTTATTGTAAACAGGATGGTTTAGGAGAAGTCTCAGATCTTGTAAGCACACTTTGCTAAAGAAAGACCTTCCACTATCCTCTAGTGGGTAGGTAAACAGATGTTCAACAGTCTAAAATGACAGCAGTTCTTGTAATTCAAATAATTTCTAAAGTTTTTTTAAATTGAAAACTCTTCATTTTTGTCAAAACCACTCTCAGTACACGATCTCCCAGTTTTTTGCTGGGAAAGGAGGGTAGACAGCCTTCTGTGCCAGTTGCTCAGATAGAGTGTTGAGACTGCTTTGTCCTGGGCCTCTTCAGGTTTACTCCAAGTTTTTTATTGATATTTTTGTGTCTACATTTTCCAAAAAATTGTCCTGAGGCAGGAAAAAAAAATCTTGCATGTGATTGGAGGTGTGGTGACAATTAAAGTTTCTGCGTTCTAATTACCCATTTTTTAGATGGTCAGAAAGTTAAAATAGACACACCATCTTGCTGAAAAACAGGGATTTTTTCACATTTAAAAGAAGTAAATGAATAATTATCAGTCACATGCCAGTGTTTAACCCTGATATCAGCAATTAAATACTGTTTTAAATATGCCACAGAAGACTGAAGTAAATTTAGGACGAACAAAACTTGCATATTTACTTTTCCTGTGTGACCTACATTTGGGTTCTAATTGTGGAAGTGGAATCTGCTTTTGCCAACTCAGCTCTAGATATTTTGGCAGGTATACATTTAATAGTTTGCTTGTGTTCCATGGCACACTACATGTGTGACGCTGCCTTTTCTCCCGATAATCCTTATTAAGAACTTGAAGAATGTACTACATGCATTTAATATTATTGCTATTAATAATCTTTCTGTTATTCAGAGACTTTGGGGAGGGATGGTGTCTTGTATATGAAAACTTGGAATATGAACATTGTGATACCAGTTTCTGTACAGAATGAATACAAATATCTGTGTATATGGAATGAATTTAAACTGTATGAAAATATTTCATAAGAGCAATATTGTAGAGATGTATTTCATCATTTCATTTTATATTACATTAAAGATTTAGCTGAAATAATTGGTGCAGTCATAGATGTTCGGCAGTTATAACATGAATAATTACCTTTATATGCTGATATTAATGCTTCATTGTATAGTATGAATTCCATACATTAATTTATGTATTATTGATAGAGGATAGTTTTAGCTTACAGGAAGGAAGATGATACATGTCTTTTCTTTTTCCAGGATCCAAAAGAATCAGTGACAGCGAAGTCTCTGATTATGACTGTGATGATGGAATTGGTGTTGTTTCAGGTACTGATGTTTGAATTTACTTCTCCAAGTTCAGTAGAAATATTTCTGATTTGTAATTTGTTATGAATTTTGCAATGTTTTCTGATTAAAAATAAGTGGAACTTAAGTATATATTTTTTAAGAGATGCAAAAGTAAATATCATGCATAATCTCAAAAATTACTAATGGGGGAAAAAAAGTCAGTGTGTGAATGTTCTCATTGCTTTTATATAATGATACAAATAGCATAATGGTAGTGTCATTCATTTTTAATGAATGTCAGAAATGTTAATTTCTTTTTTTTTTTGACAGGCATATGTTGGTATATCCTGTAAAATTTCATGTTGGAATAATAACACTACCAAAGGTCTGAAACATGAACATTTAAGGCAGGATAGGAGATAGCAGATAATCTGTTTCACTAAGTATTGGAATTGAGCCTATTTGAGAAAAAAGTTGTCATGTCAAAGAGTATGTCTCCCCTTCTAAGAGAAAAGATAACACCAGATTAAAAAATATTTATATCTGGAAACAATAAAGCACAACCATATGCTTTTCATTACTACAACAGAGAATATATTTAAGATTATAGAATCCAGGACACTTTTGAGTTGGATCAAGTCCAACTGCTAGAACTGGAAAGTTCGCTATTAAACCTTGCCCCTCAGCCACATGTCTTTTAAAGACCTGCAGGAGTGGTGACTCCAGCCCTTCCCAGCCTGTTCCATTGCTGGACAGCTCTTTCAGGAAGATTTTTCCCCAGTATCCAACCCAGAGGAGGCAGCTGTTCTGCCTGTAACCAGCACCGAGGGCTGCTGCTGTCAGCACAGATTGGGGTACTCCTCTCAGTGTATGTTCTATTGCCCTGCTGCTCTTCTGAGATTTTTAACACTCAGGGTTTCCTGTGCTAGACCGTTTCTGGTTCTCTTGGGTGAGGTCCAGCTCCAGTGTTAGACAGCGGGGTTTGGGAAAGGCTGAGCAGTATAATCTGTCTGGTCCACAGCAGCTGTGGGAGCGTGATCCGCTCAGGTCGGTCAAAGCCTGTTCCTGCCTCGCAGGCACCCATCAGCATATGGGGTACAGGATCTGCTGCTGGAGGCTAAGGAGGAGAGACAGGAAAGAGGAATGAGAGCAATACAGCTCACCTTGGAACTGAGAGCAAATAAAAAGAGGTGAGGTAGGCAATCCTGAATATTGCAAGATGCCTGTAAAATTTCATGTTGGAATAATAACACTACCAAAGGTCTGAAACATGAACATTTAAGGCAGGATAGGAGATAGCAGATAATCTGTTTAAGTATTGGAATTGAGCCTATTTGAGAAAAAAGTTGTCATGTCAAAGAGTATGTCTCCCCTTCTAAGAGAAAAGATAACACCAGATTAAAAAATATTTATATCTGGAAACAATAAAGCACAACCATATGCTTTTCATTACTACAACAGAGAATATATTTAAATTATAGAATCCGGGACACTTTCAAGTTGGATCAAGTCCAACTGCTAGAACTGGAAAGTTCGCTATTAAACCTTGCCCCTCAGCCACATGTCTTTTAAAGACCTGCAGGAGTGGTGACTCCAGCCCTTCCCAGCCTGTTCCATTGCTGGACAGCTCTTTCAGGAAGATTTTTCCCCAGTATCCAACCCAGAGGAGGCAGCTGTGCCGCCTGTAACCAGCACCGAGGGCTGCTGCTGTCAGCACAGAGTGGGGTACTCCTCTCAGTGTATGTTCTATTGCCCTGCTGCTCTTCTGAGATTTTTAACACTCGGTTTCCTGTGCTAGACAGTTTCTGGTTCTCTTGGGTGAGGTCCAGCTCCAGTGTTAGACAGCGGGGTTTGGGAAAGGCTGAGCAGTATAATCTGTCTGGTCCACAGCAGCTGTGGGAGCGTGATCCGCTCAGGTCGGTCAAAGCGTGTTCCTGCCTCGCAGGCACCCATCAGCATATGGGGTACAGGATCTGCTGCTGGAGGCTAAGGAGGGGAGACAGGAAAGAGGAATGAGAGCAATACAGCTCACCTTGGAACTGAGAGCAAATAAAAAGAGGTGAGGTAGGCAATCCTGAATATTGCAAGATGGTGTGAAGCCAAGTATTGATCAGTCTGGACATTTAGTGAACTATCTAATTATACGAGTTGGCCTAGTCCTGCTTTAAAATCTATTACCAGTCTGAGATGCATTTCTGTTTTGTCTACATAATCATGCTTTTATTTCCAGGCTATTTCATGGTTAGCTCATAGGCTGTGCTTAATTTTTGACCCTGGTATGTTACTATTCCATGCTATGCGTCTTGCACTTACTTTTTCTTTATTTTTACAATAGTAGACAGCTTGTAAATTTTATGAAAAAGCCCTTTTTATAAACGGATAAAATTTTACAGACTTTATGATATAAACAGGGCAAGTCATATTTGTGCTAAGGTTCCAGGAGTTTTACCAGATTTAAAAAAGAACACTAGGCCTGCAAAACCACTAAAATTTCTGTGTCCCTTAAAACATTTATCTTCAAACAGTAACAGGCTATTTGTTCAGATTATTGCGTTAATTAAAAATCTATTACGGCAAATTTACAGCTTTTTTATATTCCCACTCCCCTGTTTCCTTTCTTACAGTCAGAACACAGGAAGGACAGATAGCCAGTGGTGTGAAGTACCGGAACCAAAGAGGCAGCCATCCTCAGAAGCCCTTTGTTGCTATTTACTGTACTTTCAGTCTTTGATGAGCTTTCTGTCTGTGATTAGTAGTCTCTAAGGCATTCAAATTGCCTGTCCTCCCAAAAATAAGGGCTTTCATATTGCTGCGAATCAGTTAAATTAAAAATGTATCAATCTCATTTAGGAGCTTAAAAATAAAGGTAGGAAATAACCGGATTTAATGGATATATTTCTAGAGTGCCCAGTATAGCATCATTTTGAAAGTGATTTTTTTTCCTGTCCTGGAAAAAGGTACCAAGTTTTGCACAGTTTTTTTAGCAGGTGCTTGAATATCAGCAGGATTCTTATGAAACACCTAGGTTTACAAATTTGATTCAATAAACCTATCTTTTGACAACTTGTAAAATGATGGTCTTTACAGTTGAGTGAGCCTACTTCCCTTACCTGAGTTTCTGACATACCTTTAGTTTTTTAGGATCTTTAAGCTATTGAATTTTTGCTGAACAATTCTACACCTTAGTTGCATTTTAATTCAGCCTGGCTCTGTGGATAGGAAAATTTGATAGCTTTTAGGTTTTGAAATATTAATTTAGTGCCTTACTTTTCTTTTTGTGCTGCTACCACTATGTTTGTAAGTCTTCTGGTTTAGTCGTCTTACCCTCCACTCTCCTTATTCCCTCAATTTTTTTAAGTTGCTCTGTTTGTAGACTCATCAAAATCTTTGTTTAAATATGCACTATTTGCATGAAACCATTTGTCTCTCTTTCTTTGCTTCCTTTCTTACGTACCCCAGTTCTTTCATTTTGTATTTTCAGGTTTTATTTAACATGACACTTTGCTCTTCTTCTGTCTGCTATATAAATAGTGCATTACACAAATTAAGCTTGCCAACATCTTTCAAGTATTCTCAATGATCCTTTCCATAAAATTAATTCCTAGTATCACACCTGTGAACTAAAAAAACCTTTAAGAAGAAAAAAAAATATCTCTTTGCTCCTCTTCAGTTTACTTTCATTCATAATGGTTGACTAGATGTCCTTTAAAGTTCCCTTCCAGTTCAAACCATTCTGTGATTTTATGACCTCTCGGAAAAATTATTTACCAAATCTATCACTTCTTGTGGCATGGATCTGAGCCTGCTTAGATAAATGTAATAAACTTCAGTCTGTTGTTTCTGTCAACAGGAAAGGCCTTTAAAAAATAGTGATAAACAGATGGAAAAACTTCAGTGTCTTTTTTTCTGGCTACACATGTATTCTCCAACAGTAATTGTTACAAAGGGTTATAGCATATTACATATTTTAAAAGTGAATTTTTACTGGATTCTAAAATAGCTCTCTTCAAATATAATGTACATTCATCTTGGAAACGCTAGAATAGTCTCTATTAATATTTTATCTTTGCTGGCATTAATCTTACCATAGGATAGTGGAATGAGCACAATTCTGGTTATGTCTAGAGATTGGTTATACATAGCTCTCGAACAATTTAAAGCATTTATTTTGCTGTCCTGAACAATAAACCTTGGCCCTCAAAGTTGTCTGCCACCAGAAGTTCTTTGTGGGAGTACATAAGCATCTACACCTGCCCTTTGGAATGCTCTTACATCCTTTTTAATAAAAGCTCTACAGTACTTTTATATTGATTTTTTTAATGCCAGAAATGTTTAAAAAACATCATTTATATTCTAACAATGCATACAACACAGTGAAAGGCAGGTTGGCTTTTTGGGTGGGTTTTTTTTTCATTCTAGTGTCCAGAGTTAAGCATGCATTGCAGTTAACAAATTAAAGGAATATGGACTATAATTTCTAAATAGTTTTCTTCCCAGATACTTTCTGGTGTATGTTGAACCTAGGGAATACAAGCAGCCTATTGAGTCTGACTTTATGAACAGAGACATGTATTGTCAAGACCATTTAATCATAAAATTCTCACCTATTGTTTTTGTAACACTAAAATGTTAAGTAAGATAATAATGTTTAAAATTCAGGTCTACACCAATATCTCATCTGCATTACAGCAGATTATGTGTTATGAAACACTTGGAATCTGAGATATGTTTCAACAGAAGCAACAAATGAATCATGGAAGAATGTAGGCAGTGGATTCTACATAGACTGCATTGCAAGTCTCTATTATAGAGAAGAGCTTTTCTGAGTAAAAGAATGCAGTCTCCAGATTTGAGAAGAAAAACATTTATAGTGATAAGTTTTTTATCATTATGCAGAAGATAGCTGTATGTTTCAGGAGGAAATAAGAATACAAAGAAGATATTTATTCAGAGGATGGTTAGGTCCATGTGAATTAGGAAAAAATAGTAACTATCAGTACAGAAGTTATTACTGAACCTTCAAAAATATTTCTGTGTTT